ATTGTACCTGTTCCCTTAAGGGCTTATTCAAGAAACAAATATATTCTCATCTTAAATTTAAAAGGAATCTGGGGTGGGGGGTGGGGAGTGGAAAAACATTTGTTGTCTTGCTTGCAAGCTCATTTTTAAAAAGAAAAAAAATCTAGGTGGAAAATTGCCAGAAATGTTAGAAAATGTTTACAGAGATACCCTGAGAGATTTTCTGTTATTGCAAAAAAAAAACAAATTAGGGGGAAAAAAAACCCAGAAAACTTTAAATAGTGTTTTACTCTACTAGGAAACAGTGCAAACATAAAGAATCTGTATACCTTCTCTACCCAGTAAGCTGAATGTGAAGAGGAACTAGGTCTATAGATTTCCGCAGAAACCCTAAAAGTAAGGAAAACTAAAAACATATTGTATTTTGCTGGTTTGACAGATTATACCCATTTACCAATCATTTCAAGTGCATTCACATTACCAAAGTCGCCAAAGCAGTGTCCTGAGTCCAAGGATGGCAACGTTCCCGCTCGTCCCCACCCCAGTTTACAACCAGCATCAGCCTCCTACTCCAAGGCGTCTTCTCAGAAGAGCTCAGTCATCAGAGAAACTGTGGTTAGCCACATCCTCACCCCAGTCAAAATATTAGGGCCTTTATTTTACCCCAGGATTCAGCAACAGCAAGCATCTGTAAGGCTGAGCTAGTTAGAGGTGCTCTGAATTCCTGGACTTGCATTGAAATAAGCATCATCAGGTTAAGGGGGATCACATGCCATCAGGGCTCCATGAACTTTTTGTTACAACCAGTGGAAGATGTACACTGCTCAAAGCACTCTCTGGTGTGAAGGTACAAAGAAATGATTACACACGTAATGTGTGTAATGGAGAACAATGATAGTATCTTTGAAAGTATCAAGCAGATGCGCTGGAACTTTCCTCTTATCCTGGAAGCCTTCCACTGGTGAACCTGAGTGCCTTCAGACCTATCTTCCAGCTCTTCAGATATTTGTCTGTTCTGACGTTAAAGACAAATGATGTTTTCTGATGTTCACTGAATTCTTCAGTGTATTTTTGTAGAGTATTTTTATAGTTTTTTTGAGAGGCCTAGAACTTTTCTTTTTTTTTCCAAATGGGCTGTGTCACTCTGTGTAGTTTTGCAAAAGTATAGTTTTCCAGCTGGAATGCTCAAACTTAGCTTTTAGGCCCTTGAACACAGGAAGCATAGTTGCTTTGTGGTCTATACCTGATAAATCCCATACTTAAGTTCAGTTCAGTCACTCAGTCGTGTCTGACTCTTTGCAACCCCAAGCACTACAGCACACCAGGCTTCCCTGTCCATCACCAACTCCTGAAGCTTGCACAAACTCATGTCCATTGAGTCGGATGCCATCCAACCATCTCATCTTCTGCCATCCCCTTCTCCTCCTGCCCCCAATCCTTCCCAGCATCAGGGTCTTTTCAAATGAGTCAGGTCTTCGCATCAGATGGCCAAAGTTATTGGAGCTTCAGCTTCAACATCAGTCCTTCCAATGATAGTCAGGACTGATCTCCTTTAGGATTGACTTGTTTGATCTCCTTGCAGTCCAAGGGACTCTCAAGAGTCTTCTCCAACATCACAGTTCAAAATCATCAGTTCTTCAGTGCTCAGCTTTCTTTATGGTCCAACTCTCACATCCATACATGACTACTGGAAAAACCATAGCTTTGACTATATGAACCTTTGTTGGCAAAGTAACGTCTCTGCCTTTTAATATGCTATCTCGGTTGGTCATAGCTTTTCTTTCAAGGAGTAAGCGTCTTTTAATTTCATGGCTGCAATCACCATCTGCAGTGATTTTGGAGCCCAAGAAAATAAAGTCTGTCACTGTTTCCACTGTTTCCCCATCTATTTGCCATCAAGTGATGGGACTGGATGCCACGATCTTAGTTTTTTTGAATGCTGAGTTTTAAGCCAACTTTTTCACTCCTCTTTCACTTTCGTCAAGAGGCTCTTCCGTTCCTCTTCGCTTTCTGTCAGAAGTGTGGCGTCATCTGTGTATCTGAGGTTATTGATATTTCTCCTGGCAATCTTGATCACAGCTTGTGCTTCATCCAGTAGCTGGAATCCACATCAGTAAGTCTGTTTCCCTTTGCCTGTTATTTCTGCTGATCATGGATTATGGTATCTTATCTCCTATGTGCTCTGTCATCTTTGATTGTGTGCTAGACATTGTACGTGAGAAAGTTATTTATAGAAATCATTTGAGATCTGTTATCGTCCTCATAAGAGGATTGTTCATTGTATTTTACAATCTATTTACTTGTTTTGTCAGGTGTCAAGGGGCATGAGCCATCAAGAATCACCTCCATCTCGGCTCAGAGTTTGAGATTTTGTGGGGCCAGCAAAATCAGGGACTTTCAAACTTTGATGTGAACACATATCACCTATGTATCTTGTTAAAGTGAAAAGTTTTACTTAGTAGAGTTGGGACAAGCCTCAGGAAGCCACAATTGAAAAAAAAAACAACCCAAGTCATGTCAGTGGGATAGTTAATTTTTACATATCAACTGGCCACAGGGTACCCAAATGAAATATAATTTCTGGGTATGTCTTTGAGCATTTTCTGAATGAGATTAGCATTTGAATCCATGGGCACAGTAAATTGCCCTCTCCAGTGTAGGTGGGCATCATCCTATCAGTTGAGGGCCTACATAGAACAAAAGGTGGAGGCAGGAGGAATTCACCCTTTTTTCTTCCTTCCTGATTACTTGAGCTGGGACACTGACCTTTTCAAGCCCTCAGCACTCCTGGTTTTCAGACATTCAGACTCAGTCTGGAATCTAACGATTGTTAGATGATTTTGCACAACTCCAGGCTAACTGTAGGCTAAAACTCTGAGTACCTTTAAGATAGACTAGGCTGAGCTATGATGTTTGGGAGGTTAGATTATTAAATACAGTTTTGATTCACATGGGTTTTTTGGGACATAACCCTATCATAAGTTGAAGAAGACCTAAGCGCAGATGGCTTTAAAACAAGTTATTATCTGTCAGGGACTTAGGAGCAGCTAAGCCAGGTGGCTGGACTTGGGTTTCTCATGAGTTACAGTCAAGATGTGAACAGGGGTTGAAATACAATTTGAAGGTTAGCTGGGGCTGGAGGTGGAAGGTGACTCATTCCCATGGCTGTTGGCAAGAGACCTTGATCCCTCCCCACCTTTCTACTGGGCTGCTCATAACGTGGCACCTGGCTTCTCTCAGATCCAAGAGGTTGAGACTAAGGTAGAAGAAGCCACAGTCTTTTATAACCCAAGCTTGGAAGTCACGTGCCCTCTGCTTCACTTTCTTCTCTTCATCAGAAGTGAGTCACAGCCTGTTATACAGAGTGAAGTCAGTCAGAAAGATAAAACAAGTATCACATATTAACATATATATATGGAATCTAAAAAATGGTACTGATAAACCTATTTGCAGGGTAGGAAGAGTCTCAGACATAGAGAATAGACCTATAGAATAGGGGGGCATGAATTGAGAGTAGCAGTGAAATACATTGCCATGCGTAAAAAAGACAGCTAATGGAAAGTTGCTGTATAGTGCAGGGAGCTCAGCCTGGTGCTCTGTGACATCCTAGAGGGATGGGAGGGGGTAGGAGGTGGGATGGAGGTTCAAGAGGGAGTGGACATGTGTATACCTATGGCTGATTCATGTTGATGTATGGCAGAAACCAATACAAAATTGTAAAGTAGTTATCCTCCAATTAAAAAAAATTTTTTTTAATTTTTTTTTAATTTTAAAAGAAAAGAAGTGAATCACCAAGTTTACCCCACCCTCAAAAAGAGGCCAATTAGGTCCCACCTTTTGAAGAAAGTACCAAATCACTTGTGGGCACATTTTAAAAACCATCATAGCAACATCATGTTTCACATATGGCCATGTGCTCGATACATTTCTATTAAATAGATCCAAGGAACCTCCTTAGGTTGTGACATAGAACTTTTGGAAATTCTCTTATAATCTTTATCTCTGCCCCCAAAGATCGAACAACATGCAGGGCCCTCTCCAGTTCTAAGATGTATGTGTGCCTTCCTAGGCAACACTCAAATCACTATACCCTGTGGAGATGATGCTGTTGGGCTGAATTCTCCCCAACACCCACTCCTTGGCGGTGGGAAGAAAATTCTCTGTGGGACCCCTCTATGTGCAGAGATGTGTTCCCTGACAGCTGGTGGCCTGACTGGAGACATTAATGGAGTGTGTCCTGTACAGCCAGGAAGTGATATAAACACAGAGTAGAGACACAATTCTATCACAGCTCAGGGCAGGATGGCGATAGGCATGCTGCTGCTGCTGACTCAGCAGCTGTATGTATATAGTATTCTTCTAACAATTAGACTTAATCCTTAAACATTTTCCCCCAACAGGGATTTGTCCCAACAGCTTTGTCCCAACAGGGATTTAAAGCTGCTTGATTTTTGTAAGTAATCCTTCCGGCTCATTAAAAAAAAAAAAATCCATTTCCTATTTTTAAGCATTAAAAACTTAAGACATTTTTGTTATTCTATCTCTCATAGTAAAACTTTCTTAGATTACCCCACATTCTATTTTTTTATTTAAAAAATTAAGAAAAACAGTTTGGAGAAGTGCTTGTATTTAGCAACATATGTTATATTGATAGGCTTCCAGGTGGTGCTAGTGGTAAAGAACCTGCCTGCCATTGCAGGAGACATAAGAGATTCAGGTTCAGTCCCGGTTGGGAAGATCCCCTGGAGGAGGGCATGGCAACCCACTCCAGTGTTCTTGCCTGGACAAAGGAGCCTGGCGGGCTATGGTCCATGGGGTTGCAAAGAGTCAGTCACAACTGAAGCGACTTAGCACACACGTTATACTGATAGTATTTCCCACTGGGTAGATACTGTATTTTTCCAAAATTCAGGGGTTTTTCTGTGTGTATCTTCCCACTTTGGTTCATCTCTTCTTCTTATCCTATAATATTTTTCTTTTCCTTAGGACTATTCAGTCAGTGAATTCTTATTTTAAATAGTTTATAGAAAGTATTTGGGAGTACTCATATGAAAATGATGATTGTTCTCAAAGTTGTGCCCCTCTTTGTAGGATCCAAATCTAAAAAAAAAAAAAAAAAGTAATTGATATGTAAAAACTATCCAAAAGATAGGTTCTTATGTAAAATTTCAACCATAATCTATTGTGGCTTACTTATCTATCATAAAACCTGCAGAGATGTGATTAATTTATAAAACAGCAAATGAAGAGGGGAAAAAAAGGATTCATGCCCCTGGAAAAGGCATATTAAGTTTAACCTTCAAAGTCCTCATTCCCTGATTACAGATCAGTCCACAAACACAACTGTTTAAGAATTATTGGCTGATAATATTTGTGAAAAATAAGTCTGGATTTTCTCCTATGCTCAGTTGGAATAATATCCATTTTACAGTTGAAAGGAAGTTATTCATGTTACATGTGTGGATCTATAAAATCTATTTTGGTACATTTGCAACTTTGAAGTCTTCTACAGTGCTCAGGTTCTACAAATTGATGATTTACTTTACCAATGAATACTTAGGTAATTATATAACTCTGGTTGATATGATGAAATACAAAAGGCACTAGAAAGGAAGCCATGACTCCCTTTTCTTCATCAGCAATTGCAATATCCAAAAAACCTCAATAATATAGGAGATAGGATATCTGTATACTTTGTCATCACAAACAAAAATACGAGATATTAAAACTTTACATAACCTTTTTACTATTCCACAACTAGACCAAGTACTAAGGAAGTAATCAAGGATATACCCAAAGATGTAGAGTCCCTTGGAGACTTTCTGTAATAATGAAAGACTAAAGGTACAAAAACCCAATTGGGTAACTAAGTTTGGTATAGCCATATAATGGAATATTATGCAATCATTAATAATATTTTCAAAAGAGTACTTTTTTATAGAAGGAAGTTCACCATATACTATTTGGATGAAAAAAATTAGATTAACAAATAGAATGAACATATACACACATGTATGTTTCATAAATTTACAAAGCTGGGTGATATACAGATACACAGAAAGTCAAAGTTGTTAGTCAGTCATTTCTGACTCTGTGACCCCATGGACTATAGCCCTCCAGGTTCCTCTGTCCATGGAACTCTCCAGACAAGAATACTGGAGTGGGTAGCCATTCCCTTCTCCAGGGGATCTTCCTGATCCAGAGATCAAACCCACTTCTCCTTCATTGTAGGCAGATTCTTTATAGTCTGAGCCACCAGGGAAGCCCATATAGATAAATATACATATATATTTGTGTGATAAATATAGATACATATGCATATAAAAAAGCAAAAATGTATCCAAAAATATTAGCAGTGATAATCTTTGAATTGCTGATTTCCCCCTAGAACATAAGCTCCACAGGACAAATATGTGGTCTTATTCACCACTCTGTCCCCAGTTTCCAACATATCCTGATGCTAGCATGGTACTGGCATCATGATAGTCAATGACTGTTTGCTGAATTAAGGAATGGGATTTTTTTAAACTCGGTATTCTTTGGCTATTTCTATTTTATAAATTTTCATATGTACACATTTTTATAATAAGAAATTTTAAAGCAGGCCTTCTACTTATGCTTCTGTTATTTTCATAATTAAACTGAGTGAGAAAGCAGATCAAACCCTTTCACAGTCGGCTTGGACCAATCTGCAGTCGTGATTAGCCAAAAACCCTTTATTCGGACTTCTTAACACTCCTGATATGAGAATAAGGAAACAGGAATTTTTTTTTCTTCCCAGACCTTTGAGCTTCCACTTAAGAAGTCACCTCAGTCAACAAAGGGTTTCCCTGATGGCTCAGTTGGTAAAAAATCCATCTGCAATGCAGTAGACACCAGTTTGATTCCTGGGTCGGGAAGATCTGCTGGAGAAGGGATAGGCTACCCACTGCAGTATTCTTGGGCTTCCCTGTGGCTCAGCTGGTAAAGAATCTGTCTGTAATGCAGAAAACCTGGGTTCTCATCCCTGGGTTGGGAAGATCCCTTGGAGAAGAGAAAGGTTACCCACTTCGGTATTCTGGCCTGGGGGTCCAGTATACAGTCCATGGGGTCGCAAAGACACGGACAGGCCTGAGCGGCTTTCACTCAGTCATCGAAAGGAGGGAAGATTTCTATTTTACTCCTACTGTTACTGCTACAGATATTGTTGTCACCATTGCAGCTACTGGCTCTGGAGCATTTACCAGGCACTATTTTAGGACCTTTGTGTGTCATTCAAAGCCCAAAAAACCTCAAGAGTCAGGCACTACTGTTTTTCCCATTTTGCCAATGAGATTTGAAGTTCTGAGATGAGAGGCTAAGCAACTTGTCCACAGTTGCCCAGCTGTTCACTGATAAGGCTGAGGCTTGCAAGTGGGCAGCTTCACCCCGGGGCCAATGCTCTCCACAGCACATTGCAGTTACAAGGGCAAGGTCAAATACAGCGACTGAAGCCAATCCAGGCTGGGCTCGAGCTCTCCTTAAATTCACTGCCTACACTACAGTACAGTTGTGTCTTGTTGTAAGGAGAGACAAGGAAAAAAAGAGAATACCTAAATGTCATTTTTCCCCCATACAAAATGAGGTCTGAGATGTTTCTATAGCTATTAACTGGTAAAAGTAGTAGAAATGTCAAATAATACTAACAATGTATTGAATATATGATTCATTCTGAGCCTGCTTTGAGATAGAGACTGCCTTTCATTATCCAGTCATGGGAGAAGCACAAAGTACTTACTCCAAATCACATGTTTTTTGGCAAACAGATTTCTCAGATAACCTCTATTTAAAACTAAATGGCACCCAATATGTTTCACAGGGTGGAATATCTGTAATGGAAATGAATGATCCATTTTCCATAGTCACAATCATAATTGCACATTAGAATAACCTGCAAGGTTTTTTTTTAACCCAAAGCCCAGGTATCACCAAGAGGTTCTAATGAATTGGTCTGGGGTGGGACCAGGCAGAGGGAGTTATTAAAAGCTCTCCAGGTGAGTGTTAGTGCAGCCAACACTGAGAATCACAGCAACCCAGTGATGCCAACAGGCTTCCTTCCCATTTGTTGGCTCTGTCACTGACTAGCCACATAAGCCTGGTGAAGTCCTGTTATGTTCCTCAGCCTGAGCTTCCTTACCTCCAAAATGGGCATAACAAGAAGGCCGACCCAACGAGGATTATGGAGATAGCACTTGACACAGCTAGGACAGGGTCTGGGTCGCAGCAACGCTCTAACAGTAGCATTTACTAGGCGATGTTGTGGGGCCATGTGGTCGGTTGTGCCTGAGGCTGGGACTTCAGCACGTTTCTTTGTCTCAGAGAGCAGGGACCATAACTTCAGCCCAAGTGAGATGTTATAAAGTTTACCAGGAGCTCCTTGCATGAATAAACCTCTAGAATCTGATTGGCAGCTCACTGTGAGGTACTATTTACGACCCTAGAGGGGATGCATGAGCTCATATAGCTCTAGTTCACATAAAGGAACTCACTCACCTGGGATTGAAGTGAATTTTCTCTGGAACTTCCCTATGGTCTGTGACCACTTTCTGGTTGTCTCTATAATTAATTGGGTCATCAGGAATCCTAAATTTGGCTACCTGAATTTCAGAGTCACTCAGTTCAGCGTGGGAGATTCTTGCGTAACCCAATCTGTGGCAGAAACAGAAATGGTTTGTAAAGATTTTATCATCATACTGAAGTCTGATGAGATCTGGCAGATAATACCTTCACTAATAAGTTAGTTACCCATTTCTAACTCTGTATATCACTAGAATGAACTTGATTTACTACTCTAAATATTTACCAAAATATTTCTTTTATGATATAAATGGATAAGGAACATGCACATAGATTTAATTAACATAATTGGCAACCTTACTCTACTTTTTTACAGTAATTAACGAATATTCTATATATATAAATTGCCTCTCACATAATTGTTTTGTGTCAGTAGCAGGAATTCTCCAGAATTCCTGGAGAATTTAAGAGCAAAATCCTCCAGAATTTAGGAGCATAGTCCTAAATTCTTTTTTACCTTAAAAAAAAAATCCAAAGACAACATGCACATTGTCATTCACAGTTAAACATCTAAAGAAAAGATTTTTAATGGCTGAAAGCATCAATTCTTCAGCGCTCAGCCTTCTTTATGATCCAAAGAACTGGACTGCCAAAGAATTGATGCTTTCAAACTGTGGTGCTGGAGAAGACTCTTGAGAGTCCCTTAAACAGTAAGGAGATCAAACCAGTCAATCCTCAAGGAAATCAACCCTGAATATTCATTGGAAGGACTGATGCTAAAGCTGAAGCTACAATACTTTGACCACCTGATGCAAAGAGCTGACTCATTGGAGAAGACCCTGATGCTGGGAAAGATTGTGGGTTTGATTAGAAGGGGGCTACAGAAGATGAGATGGTTGGATGGCATCACTGACTCAGTGGATATGAGTGTGAGGAAGCTCTGGGAGATAGTGAAGGACAGGGAAGCCTGGCGTGCTTGCAGTCCATGGGGTCGCAAAAAGTCGGACATGACTTAGCAATTGAACAACAACGTCTGAAAAACTGCACATTTTTAATGTCTGGAAAAAGAAATGTACATCCTGCTTTTGCTTCGAGCTTTCAGTTCTCCAGGAATTTCAAAGCACTTTGTAGATGTTATCCAAATAGTTATCAGAAGCTCAGATGGAAAAATGGGGGAACCATGAACAGCCAAGAATTAGTTTTCTTTATAGTTTGCCTCTTTAAAAGTCAGCTTCAGTCTGACTTTTATTCAAAGAACAAATATATTCATTTGTTCATTATTCAAAGAATAAATATATATATTAAGTCCCTACTACATGGAGGCATTGTTCTAGGTATTGGAAACAAACAGTGACTAAAACAAATTTTGTGCCCTCATAGAGTTTCCATTCTAATTGAGGAGGACAAATATATGTATATATGTGTGGTGATAAGCACCCAAGTACTGTGGGAGAACAAGCAGAGGACAGATGTCAGAAAGCACTGGTGGCAAAGGTTATTATTCTACAGTGAATGGTCAGAGCATACCTCTCTGACAAAGTGACATTTGAGCAAAAAGCTGAATGAAGGGAGCAAGCCACACAGGTATTGGAGGAAGGGTGTTCTTGGGAACGGGAACAGCAAATGCAAAGGTCCTGAGGTCAAATGTACTTTTCTGAGAACCAGCTCCACAATGACTGGAATGGAGGGCCTAAGGGGAACCTGAGTTTGCATGGGGTAGCAGATGATGCAAAGCCTTCCTGACAGACTTCAGAGTTTCTCTGAGAGTGAGATGGGGCATTGTGCAGAGATGCAGTGGCTATGGTGTAGAGAGCAGACATCAAGGTAATAGTCAAAGAAGAGAGACCAGTTAGAAGGGCAGAGAGATAATTTAGATGAAAGACCAACAGGGGCTTGGGCCACAGTGGCAGAGGGAGGAACACTTAAAACCTGTAGCTCCATCCAAAATAGAGACAGAAACCCAGAGGTGGAAGAAGTGGAGAAGCAAGCCTGCCCACACGGCAGATGAGAGCAGCACAATCTCAGCGTCAGACGTGGGTCTGAGCTGTCTGACAGGTTAATGCATTTGTCTAAAAGCTCAAGTCCCAATTCTGTGCAGCTCCCTGTAATTCAGCATCACTCTCTCTCGTAAATCTAGGTCATTTATTTCCCAAATCTCTAAGATCAAAGTTTAACCCATTTCATAGATTCTGCCTTCAAAAAGCCATTGAAGATAAGGAACCTGACAATCTAAATCTTCTACCAAAGCAGAGAATCTTTCACTGTTGTCCAGTAAGTATTTATTAAGTGCCTACTGAGAGCAGGGCATTGAATTAGATGATCCAGGTAAAGTTTATAGAATTGGTTTTCTGGACAGAAACGGAATAACAGTAGTCCCTAACTGCATTAATTTTGATATTTTCAAAATTACCTTCCCATCTGTTACAGACTAAATGTTTGTGTCTCCTCCCCCCAGATTCATATGTTGAAGCCCTAAACCCCACCCCCTGCCCTGTGAAGCCACATTTTGACCTCTAAGGAAGTAATTAAGTTAAATGAGGTGGGGTAGGTCCCTGATCCAATAGGATTAGTGTCCTTATAGGAAGCCTATTGGCTTCCCTGGTAGCTTAGTGGTAAAGAATGCACCTGCCAATGCAAGAGATGTGGGTTCAAACCCTGGGTTGGGAAGATCCCCTGGAGAAGAGAATGGCAACCCACTCCAGAATTCTTGCCTGGGAAATCCCACGGACAGAGAAGCCTGGCGGGCTGCAGTCCCTGGGGTCCCAAAGAGGTGGACACACCTTGGTGATTAAACAACAACAAAAGGAAGAGATCACGGAACATGCGCGCTCTTTCCCTCTGTCTCCAAAACCATAAGAAAATTAATTTCTGTTGTTAAAGATACCCAGTCTATTGTATTTTTGTTATGACAACCTAAGCAGATTAAGATACCATCTCTCACAGTCACAGTCACTATATGTATGTGTGTTTGTGCACACACATTGTGCTCAGTTGCTCGGTCATGTCTGACTCTTTGCCACCCCATGGACTGTAATTCGCTAGGCTCCTCTGTCCATGCAATTTTCCAGGCAAGAATACTGGAGTGGGTTGCCATTTCCTACTCCAGGGGATCTTCCTGAACCAGGGATTGAACCCACATCTCTTGAGTCTCCTGCATTGGCAGGCAGATTGTTTACCACTGTGCCACCTGGGAAGCCATATGTATGTATTTATATGTCCAAAAATATATACGTCCAAAAATACTGCCATCCCACTCTCCTAAGGAGAAGAAGAAGGTTTGGGGCCACAAATATACAAACAGAGCCCAGTGATTAGTTATTATGGGCACTGGTACTACAAATACCCCTGTTACTTGGCAACTAACAATTTTTACATTTTGAACTTATACCTATTTCAATCTATATCATAAACTGTTTTCTAGAGACTCTAATGGCCAACATCCGGTGGATCACTGAAAAAGCAAGAGAGTTCCAGAAAAACATCTATTTCTGCTTTATTGACTATACCAAAGCCTTTGACTGTGTGGATCATAATAAACTATGGAAAATTCTGAGAGAGATGGGCATACCAGACCACCTGACCTGCCTCTTGAGAAACCTGTATGCAGGTCAGGAAGCAACAGTTAGAACTGGACCTGGAACAACAGACTGGTTCCAAATAGGAAAAGGAGTACTTCAAGGCTGTATATTGTCACCCTGCTGATTTAACTTATATGCAGAGTACATCATGAGAAATGCTGGGCTGGAAGAAGCACAAGCTGGAATCAAGACTGCCAGGAGAAATAACAATAACCTCAGATATGCAAATGACACCACCCTTATGGCAGAAAGTGAAGAGGAACTAAAAAGCCTCTTGATGAAAGTGAAAGAGGAGAGTGAAAAAGTTGGCTTAAAGCTCAACATTCAGAAAACTAAGATCATGGCATCTGGTCCCATCACTTCATGGCAAATAGATGGTGAAACAGTGGAAACAGTGTCAGACTTTATTTTTTTGGGCTCCAAAATCACTGCAGATGGTGATTGCAGCCATGAAATTAAAAGATGCTTACTCCTTGGAAGGAAAGTTATGACCAGCCTAGATAGCATATTAAAATGCAGAGACATTACTTTGCCAACAAAGGTTCGTCTAGTCAAGGCTATGGTTTTTCCAGTGGTCATGTATGGATGTGAGAGTTGGATGGTGAAGAAAGCTGAGCACCGAAGAATTGATGCTTTTGAACTGTGGTGTTGGAGCAGACTCTTGAGAGTCCCTTGGACTGCAGGAGATCCAACCAGTCCATCCTAAAGGAGATAAGTCCTGGGTATTCATTGGAAGGACTGATGCTGAAACTGAAACTCCAATACTTTGGCCACCTCATGTGAAGAGTTGACTCACTGGAAAAGACCCTGATGCTTGGAGGGATTGGGGGCAGGAGGAGAAGGGGATGACAGAGGATGAGATGGCTGGATGGCATCACTGACTTGATGGACATGAGTTTGAATAAACTCCGGGAGCTGGTGATGGACAGGGAGACCTGGCATGCTGCGATTCATGGGGTCGCAAAGAGTCGGACACAACTGAGCGACTGAACTGAACTGAACTGAATATCCCCATTAAAGCAACCACTTTAATATGAATTTAAACAGAAGTAGTATTTTCAATCTGAGATATCAGTCTCTTTTTTTGGTATTAAACTGCCCTTTGCTTTGTTTAAAGAAACACTGCCTTCAAAACAGATTTACAGTTACAAGCTTGAGATTTTTGAGATTTTTCAGCTGTACTATTTTGGAATTTTATATATATGGATAATGTTCACTTTTTTATATGGGGTGATCTTTTTAAAAAAATATAATCTACCTAAAGAGCTCACCACAACATAGCAGTGACTCTACCTTACCCAAGATTACATGATTAGAAGTCAGCAAAGCTGGAATTCAAGCCCAGGGTTCATGCTGTTTCTACCATGTCATACAGTCAATAATGGTGCCATTCCTAACATGTTTTGACAGTTAACAGTTATCATGCTTAACAGCTTACACAGTATCCTCTTTGTATAATTAAAGTTGATTTGCTTAGCCATTAACTCTTTCTTAAATCATTAGGCCATGCCCTGAAGAAAATGTTAAATTGGGTAACTAACCGAATCAATCTTTATGAAAAGTAACAAAATTAATTAATTGCTTCCATAAAGTTTTTCCTTCCAGGATAGACCCAAAAGATCACAGTAATAACAGATTCAGGAGAACAACTCTCAAACACCTATGCTTACCTGATCAGCCCTCGATACATAATGTATTCACACCATCTGTCTTGATCCGTGCTGTCAATATCCTAACGACGGAGAGAGAAGAGAATGTTTAAAGCATTAAAAACAGTGCTCTATTTTGAATTGCCAGGGAAATGTGTGAACTGCAGTAATAAATATGCCTTTCTTTGTACATGCTATTTACTCCACCTGACTCCTACTGATGTTTTAAGGTCCAAATTCTTTATTCATTCTACAGATACTTCCAAAACACCTACCTTTCCCCCTTCTAGCCCCTGTAAAACAGGAAGGTGGTCTAGAGAGGGAGTTAAGCAAGTAAATTGGTAATTACTACACAGCACCTGGCTCCCCACAGCTTCCCGACTCTCGCATCCCAAGCAGAACTGAGTACCTGCTCCTCGGTTATCCTGTGTAGTCCTGTAGGTCCACCAGCTACACCATTCTGCTTAACTGTTTACAGTCTCCACTCTACCCTGCCTGAGCAGAGAGCCTCTTAATCACCTTGGCTCTCTGGTGCTTAGCATGAAGCCTGGCATCTGGTAAGAGTTCAGTCTGTATTTGTTAAATGGACTCATTGGAAAAACACATATTTGGGGAGTAATCATGAGTCTCTTTGATGTAGAAAGCTTGAGACCAGCATTGTTTTTCAATAGAAAATCAGAACACAAGCATTTTTTTCTATTATGTATTAGGAAAACTCTAAACATGGAGCTTTTATACTAGAGAAAACTTCATTTTCTTCTTTTAAAAAATATACCTTACTTTTTTTTTCATTTATTTTTATTAGTTGAAGGCTAATTACTTTACAATATTGTAGTGGTTTTTGCCATACATTGACATGAATCAGCCATGGATTTACATGTATTCCCCATCCCGATCCCCCCTGCCACCTCCCTCTCCACCCGATCCCTCGGGGTCTTCCCAGTGCACCAGGCCCAAGCACTTGTCTCATGCATCCAACCTGGGCTGGTGATCTGTTTCACCCTAGATAATATACATGTTTCGATGCTGTCCTCTCGAAACATCCCACCCTCGCCTTCTCCCACAGAGTCCAAAAGTCTGTTCTATACATCTGTGTGTCTTTTTCTGTTTTGCATATAGGGTTATCGCTACCATCTTTCTAAATTCCATATATATGTGTTAGTTTACTGTGTTGGTCTTTATCTTTCTGGCTTACTTCACTCTGTATAATGGGCTCCAGTTTCATCCATCTCATTAGAACTGATTCACATGAATTCTTTTTAATGGCTGAGTAATATTCCATGGTGTATATGTACCACAGCTTCCTTATCCATTCATCTGCTGATGGGCATCTAGGTTGCTTCCATGTCCTGGCTATTATAAACAGTGCTGCAATGAACATTGGGGTGCACGTGTCTCTTTCAGATCTGGTTTCCTCGGTGACTAAGTTTTACTATTAAATATAATTGAAATATATTTTTAAATAACTAAAAGAATACACACAATTTATTATGTATTTTTAAATTTTTTTCTTAAGATTGGTAGTGGACACATAAATGCTAGTTTTTTTTCTTTGGCCCCTCTGTGTAGCTTGTGAGATACCAGTTCCTGACCAGGGGTTAAATCCTTGGACCACAGAAGTGAAAGCCTGGAATCCTAACCACTAGACCACCAGGGAACTATGGATTCTTAATTAATCTTAACTATTATTTACATATCACATACATACAATATGACTTTTGTATATGTAGAAAAATTATAATACATTTTAAAAATTAAATTGGATTTCCCTGGTGGTCCAATGGTTAAGACTCTGCACTTCCACTGCAGGGGGCACAGGTTCAATCTCTGGTTGGGGAGTTCCACATGGCACACAGCAGGGCAAAAAAAAAAGAAAAAATTTTTTAATATTTTAATGATGAAAAAAGCAAATATATTTTAAAAGTACTGCTCTGACTTGCCTTGGGAAGAGAGAAAAATTTAGTCATTTACCTGTATGTAGTGGGAATAATCAATTAGGAATATGTTTTACTATCTTTTTATTTTACTAGATTTTTTTTAAAAGATGCTCTCAAATTTTAAGACTGCAGAATTTAAATACTCATTTCTTAAAGAGGAATATCTATTCACTCAAGCATTTATGATTAAAACTCCTCTTTGCATTAATAAAGTTCCTAATAGATAAAATTATATAAGAATCTGCTGCCAATCTTGACACAGTTTCTGACCATGACAGTGGAACCCAATAGAGTATTAAATTAAAATTAAATAAAATTCCTCTTCCCTGCACACACACACACACACACACACACACACACACACACACACACACATTCCCTCTCTTACTAGGATACAATCAATTTTTTCTTAAACCTGCCAAATATCATCTTGTCTAACATTCTCCTGTACTTTATAGACCATGTACTTACATGTTTATCTAATATGATTTTATAGTCAGACATACATAATAAAAATATATAGCTACCCCTTACTGAGTGCATCCTATGTACAAAGCTGAGGGCTTTTTAGACATTATCTTATCTTACATCCTCATGACAACCCCATGATAGGTATTATTATCCCTACTTTACAGATGGTTAACCAAAAAGGTTAAGTAACTTGCCCCAAGGTCACAAAGCTGGTAAATGTGACACCAGGTAGGCTAGTGCATGAAGAGATTACATGGAGAGAGAGGCCCACCCAGCAGCCAGCAACCAGCACCAAGGCCCAGACAAGCGAGTGGGGAACATGTCAGAACCCCTAGCCAGACACCAGCTGACTACACGAGTAAACACAGGCAAGAACAGAACACCACTCAGCAGACCCACAGAGTCATGAGGTTATTAGGCCACTGTTCTTTTTAAGCCACTAAGGCTTGTAGCTTTCACAGTGATACACAGCGATGAACAGCTAATGCAGTGCCTGTGACTCCACACTCCAGATTTTCCTCTTATTCTTCTGATCTCTCAGTTCAGTTCAGTCGCTCAGTCATCTCCGACTCTTTGTGACCCATGAACTGCAGCATACCAGGCCTCCCTGTCCATTACAAACTCCCGGAGTTTACTCAAACTCGTGCCCATCGAGTCAGTGAAGCCATCCAGCCATCTCATCCTCTGTCGTCCCCTTCTCCTCCTGCCCCCAATCCCTCCAAGCATCAGGGTCTTTTCCAATGAGTCAACTCTTCGCATGAGGTGGCCAAAGTATTGGAGTTTCAGCTTCAGCATCAGTCCTTCCAATGAACACTCAGGACTTATCTCCTTCAGGATGGACTGGCTGGATCTCCTTGCAGTCCAAGGGACTCTCAAGAGTCTTCTCCAACACCACAGTTCAAAAGCATCAATTTTTTGGCGCTCAGCTTTCTTCACAGCCCAACTCTCACAGCCATACATGACCACTGGAAAAACCATAGCCTTGACTAGACGACCTTTGTTGGCAAAGTAATGTCTCTGCTTTTTAATATGCTATCTAGGTTGGTCATAACTTTCCTTCCAAGGAGTAAGCGTCTTTTAATTTCATGGCTTCAATCACCATCTGCAGTGATTTTGGAGCCTAAAAAAATAAAGTCTGACACTGTTTCCACTGTCTCCTCATCTATTTCCCATGAAGTGATGCGACCAGATGCCATGATCTTAGTTTTCTGAATGTTGAGCTTTAAGCCAACTTTTTCACTCTCCTCTTTCACTTTCATCAAGAGGCTTTTTAGTTCCTCTTCACTTTCTGCCATAAGGGTGGTGTCATTTGCCTATCTGAGGTTATTGATATTTCTCCTGGCAATCTTGATTCCAGCTTGTGCTTCTTCCAGCCCAGCATTTCTCATGATGTACTCTGCATATAAGTTAAATCAGCAGTGACAATATACAGCCTTGAAGTACTCCTTTTCCTATTTGGAACCAGTCTGTTGTTCCATGTCCAGTTCTAACTGTTGCTTCCTGACCTGCATACAGGTTTCTCAAGAGGCAGGTCAGGTGGTCTGGTATTCCCATCTCCTTCAGAATTTTCCATAGTTTATTATGATCCACACAGTCGAAGGCTTTAGCATAGTCAATAAAGCAGAAATAGATGTTTTTCTGGAACTCTCTTGCTTTTTCAATGATCCAGTGGATGTTGGCAATTTGATCTCTGGTTCCTCTGCCTTTTCTAAAACCAGCTTGAACATCTGGAAGTTCATGGTTCATGTATTGCTGAAGCCTGGCTTGGAGAATTTTGAGCATTACCTTACTAGCGTGTGAGATGAGTGCAATTGTGCAGTAGCTTGACCATTCTTTTGGATTGCCTTTCTTAGGGATTGGAATGAAAACTGACCTTTTCCAGTCCTGTGGCCCCTGCTGAGTTTTCCAACTTTGCTGGCATATTGATTGCAGCACTTTCACAGCATCATCTTTCAGGATTTTAAATAGCTCAACTGGAATTCCATCATCTCCACTAGCTTTGCTCCTTTCGTGTTCTCTATAATAATGTGTCACCATCATAAACCCTCCCTCTGACCAAAGCCAAAATTAGGAGTCCACCTTGAGGTAAGGACCGGCCCGAAGACCCTGAGAGCAATCGGAGGGAGCTTTTTTTAAACTGCGGGATAGGGAGGGACAAAATTAACCAGCCCGAACACACTGCCAGCGGTTCGCAAAACAAAGGGACTGAGAAACTCCAGAGAAGAGCCGGCCCATCCCCGCTGGAGGTAGGAGGCAGGGGGGAGGGGAAAAGGGCAAACTCACCCCTGAGAAGCCACCCCCTCCCACACTGCAAACAGGCCCCCGGTTCCTATCCAAAGACTTCCTGAGACCCGACTGGCGGCGCGCGCTGGGGCCGCGGAGGGAAAAAGCGCGCCGTAGCCGGGGAGATTGCGCCCAAGCCTCTGGCTGCCTGGGCCGCTCGCTGCGGAGGGAAAAGGCGCGCCACATCCGGGGAGATTGCGCCCAAGCCTCTGGCTGCCTGGGCCGCTCGACGCGGAGGGAAAAGGCGCGCCGCATCCGGGGAGAGTGCGCCCAAGCCTCTGGCTGCCTGAACTGCCCGCCGCGGAGGGAAAAGGCGCGCTGCACCCGGGGAGAGTGCGCCCAAGCCTCTGGCTGCCTGGGCCGCTCGCCGCGGAGGGAAAAAGCGCGCCGTACCCGGGGAGATTGCGCCCAAGCCTCTGGCTGCCTGGGCCGCTCGACGCGGAGGGAAAAGGCGCGCCGCATCCGGGGAGAGTGCGCCCAAGCCTCTGGCTGCCTGAACCGCTCGCTGCGGAGGGAAAAGGCGCGCCGTACCCGGGGAGACTGCGCCCAAGCCTCTGGCTGCTTGGGCCGCTCGACGCGGAGGGAAAAGGCGCGCCGCATCCGGGGAGAGTGCCCCCAAGCCTCTGGCTGCCTGGGCCGCTCGCTGCGGAGGGAAAAAGCGCGCCGTACCCGGGGAGATTGCGCCCAAGCCTCTGGCTGCCTGGGCCGCTCGCCGCGGAGGGAAAAGGCGCGCTGTACCCGGGGAGAGTACGCCCAAGCCTCTGGCTGCCTGAACCGCTCAGGCCGGGGAAGGCGCAAAACGCAGGCGCAACCGAATCTGCGCTTTTGTGGAGTACCCGAAAACTGGAACCGCACTCAACGCAGGGCCCGCTCCATATAGAGCAGCCGGGAGCCTGAGCAGTGTAGACGGCGAAATCACTGACACCCGTGAGCGGGGCAAACCCAGTGTGGCCGGAACACGGTGAGTGCTGTCCACACAGAGCGGTGTCTGTCTGCAGCGCCCCGCCCTCCCCGTAGCAGGACTGAACTGAACTAGGGAACCTAAATAAGAGATCACCTCCGCCCGCCTGTGTCAGGGCGGAAATTAGACACCAAAGAGACGGCAAATAGAAGCCAAATAAACAAAGGGAACCGCTTCAGAAAGGACTGGTGCAACAGATTAAAATCCCTGAAGGAAACACCGACTACACCGGAAGGGGCCTACAGATATCGAGAAGTGTAAGCTGGAAAGAGGAGCTATCTGAAATTGAACTGAACCTACGCTGACTGCAACAACTCCAGAGAAATTCCTAGATATATGTGGTGGTTTTTTTTTAATACTAAAAAAAAAATTTTTTTTTCTTTCCTTTTTTTTAATTTTTCTCTTTTCTTTTAAAATTCCCTATTACTCTCCCATTACTCAACTTTCATTTTCATATATTTTTACGATTTTTTTAATTAGGGGAAAAAATTTTTTTTTCTTTTTCTTGTTTTTCTCTCCTATTTCCTTTTAAAGTCCTCTAATACTCCTCTATTATTCCTTAATTTTCATTTTCATTTCACTATAACATTGCCAAAAAAAAAGAGAGAGAAACCCTATTTTTAAACCAAACTTCATATACATTTCTAAACTTTTTGTGTGTTTTTGTTTTTGTTTTTAAATATTGTATTTCAAAGAGTCTAACCTCTACACTAGATTTTTAATCTTTGCTTTTCAGTAGTATGTGATATAGATTTTGGTCATTTAAGAATCCAATATTCAGTTCCCATTTCTATTCAGGAGTGTGGTGACTACTCTCCCACTTTTGACTCTCTGTTTTCTACCTCAGAACACCTCTATTTCCTCCTTTCCCCTTCTCTTCCCAATCCAACTCTGTGAATCTTTGTGGGTGTCTGGGCTACGGAGAACACTTTGGGAACAGATAACTGCGATCTGTCTCTCTCCTCTCGAGTCCCCTTTTTCTCCTCCTGCTCACCTCTATCTCCTTCCTCCCTCTCCTCTTCTTCATGTAACTCTGTGAACCTCTCTGGTTGTCTCTCACGGTGGAGAATCTTTTCACCATTAACCTAGAAGTTTTATTATCAGTGCTGTATAGTTGGAGAAGTCTTGAGACTATTGGAAGAATAAAACTGAAATCCAGAGGCAGGAGACTTAAGCCCAAATCCTGAGAAAACCAGAAAACTCCTGACTACACGGAACATTAAGGAATAAGAGACCATCCCAAAGCCTCCATACCTACACCAAAACCAACCACCACCCAAGAGCCAATAAGCTCCAGTACATGACATACCACGCAAATTCTTTAGCAACGCAGGAACACAGACCTGAGTGTCAACATACAGGCTGTCCAAAGTCACACCTAACACATAGACCCATCGCAAAACTCATTACTGGACACTCCATTGCACTCCAGAGAGAAGAAATCCAATTCCACGCACCAGAACGCTGACACAAGCTTCCCTAACCAGGAAACCTTGACAAACCAATCGTCCAACCCCACCCACTGGGTGAAACCTCCACAATAAAAAGGAACCACAGACCACAAGAATACAGAAAGCCCACTCCAGACATAGCAATCTAAACAAGATGAAAAGGCAGAGAAATACCCAACAGCTAAAGGAACATGAAAAAAGCCCACCAAGTCAAACAAAAGAGGAGGAAATAGGGAATCTACCTGAAAAAGAATTTAGAATAATGATAATAAAAATGATCCAAAATCTTGAAAACAAAATGGAGTTACAAATAAATAGCCTGGAGACAAAGATTGAGAAGATGCAAGAAATGTTTAACAAGGACCTAGAAGAAATTTTTAAAAGTCAATTAAAAATTAATAATGAAATAAATGAGATCAAAAACACTCTGGAGGGAACCATGAGTAGAATAACAGAGACAGAAGATAGGATAAGTGAGTTAGAAGATAAAATGGTGGAAATAAATGAAGCAGAGAGGAAAAAAGAATCAAAAGGAGTCCACCTTGACTCCACTTCTGCCTTATCCACTAGGGCAGAGATTAACTCATCTCCCTAATATCTGCCTTGTCCCATTCCAAAGTTGTAGGATTTTTAGCTAGGTCTAAGAGTATCAAGATTCAATATTGCAGCGCATCTCGGTGCTCTATGATGACCTAGATGGGTGGGATGGGGGTAAGTTAGGAGGGAGGTCCAAGAGAGAGGGGATATATGTATGCATATGACTGATTCACTTCACTGTACAGCAGAAACCAACACAACATTTAAAGCAAGTATATTTAAAACAAGAGAATCAACCTAGCACAACATTGTAAATAAACTATACTTCAACTACAAAAAGAGAAAAAAATTAAATATTGCATCTCTCAGGCTTCCCAGGTGGCACCAGTGGTGAAGAACCCACCTGCCAATGCAGGAGACATACGAGACGAGGGTTTATCTGACTCGGAAGGATCCCCTGGAGGAGGGCATGGAAACCCACTGCAGTATTCTTGCCTGGAGAACCCCCATGGACAGAGGAGCCTAGGGGCTACAGTCTATAGGGCCAGATAGCCTCGGACACAACTGAAGTGACTTAGCACACATGCACGTACACGGCATCTCTCAATTTCCTGAACAGTGAGATATGGCCAACGACTAAATTCTAATCAACGAAATGTAAGTATGAGTGTTGGAGTTTGCCTTAGAGAGAACTTGTATACGCTCCTGGCCCCTTCTTGATCCCTCCCTCTATCTTGCTAACTAGAACAAGAATGTGGCCATCTTGGAACATGAAGCAAACTTGGGCGTGGAGGCCTTGTAATGTGGAGCCACAAAATAGAAGGAGCACATTCTCAGTATCCCCAAGGACCATCCTCATAGTCCCCAGTCATCACCTCGCAGACATTCACATAAAGAAACATACCTCTCTTATTTAAGCCACTGTCATTTTGTTTTCTCACATACAGAAAACTTGCATCATGCCACACTCTCACCTTCTCTTTAAGCACTTGATAAGATGGATAACCCTTTTTGTTTGCAGATATTCTCTCAAGACACTGAACTAAGAAGAGACATGTAAAGGACCAAGAAATTTACATAGGGCTTAACTAAATATAACAATTACATTTCTCTTTATAAATTAATGCATTTGGGACTTTCCTGGTGATCCAGTGGCTAAGGTGCCTAACTCCCAATGCAGGGGGTCCCAGTTCGATTCCTGGTCAGGGAATGAAATCCCACATGTCACAGCAAAGATCAAAGACTCTGAGTGCTGCAACTAAGACCCAGTGCAGCCATATAAATAATTTTTTAAAAAAAGATCCATTGCCATTTTTTAACAAATAAATAAAAATAAAATAATGCACTTAACATTCTAGTGTATACATATATATATCTCAAGGATTTAACTGTCAGTTTCCCAGAGCATGATTATATCTGGATACACCAACAAATTAAACCATTTGGGACCTGAACAGATAAGGACAAACTCAGTGTCAGTTAGTGAGGCCCTGATCAGCCAGCCTCTCTATATGACATATTATCTTCTACCCTCATCATGATTAACTTGCACAATGTGACAGATCGTATTTTCTAAACATGGCTACAGTAATCCACCTTCCATAGAGTATTCTTATGTGAATTTGACACTCGCCTCACCAAGAGATGGGGTTTATGTTTTGTTCACTTGAATGTGAGCAGGCTTGTGATGACGACAGACATGATACTATATGACTTTCAAGGTCGTACAGGACAATACAGCTTCTTCCTGGGTCTCTTGGGACACTCACTTTTAGAACCCAGCCATCATGCAAGGAAGAAGCCCAAGAAGCCTACAGAGAAGAACCAGGACTGAGTCCAAAGCCCCACCAACTTGCTCCTTAGGAGTCATCTGCAAAGTGGCTCCTCTGTCCCCAGCTGAGCCACCTCTCTGTGGCACAGACATGAGCTGTCCCCACTGGGTCTTGTCCAATTTGCAGATTCATGAGCAAAGAGATGAATGCTATTTAAAGCCAGTATGTTTGGTAGTTTTCCAAGAGGCAGTTAGATAATCAAGATACATATTAAAATGTTGGGTTGGGTTTTTTGAAACCTGAAGAAGCAACACTTTATTTAAGAAATTGGAACACCTATTAAGGTTGTGTTACCTTCACATTGCCGTGTTTAATGAGCTGTAGATAATCTCTGGAACCAGGTGCTGATGTGATATATCCCAGAAATATCACTTGCTCAGAGCTATTTTTCAGTAGTTTCGAAACAGCAATAGCTTGAAGTTTCCTGTCGAGGTCATCTCTGAAAAAAATGCCAAAATATACCTCTTTATTGTATGTGCAAAACAATCAAAAAAAAAAATACTAGGTACCTAAGTTTCCAAATAATATCTTCAAACAGTGTGCAAACCCAGAATAATTCCTATTAGGACACATTAACTTCAGTTCAGTTGTCGTTCAGTCATGTCTGACTCTTTGCAACCCCATGGACTGTGGCATGCCAGGCTTCCTTGTCCATCACCAACTCGCGGAGCTTGCTTAAAGTCAATCATGTTCATTGAGTTGGTGATGCCATCCAACCATCTCATCCTCTGACATCCCCTTATCCTTCTGCCCTCAATCTTTCCCAGCATCAGGGTCTTTTCCAAGGAGTCTGTTCTATGCATCAGGTGGCCAAAGTAAAGGGGTTTCAGCTTCAGCATCAGTCCTTCCAATGAATACTCAGGACTGATCTCCTTTAGGATGGACTGGTTGGATTCCTTGCAGTCCAAGGGACTCTCAACAGTCTTCTCCAACACCACAGTTCAAAAGCATCAATTCTTCAGTGTTCAGCTTTCTTTATGGTCCAACTCTCACATCCATACATGACTACTGGAAAAACCACAGCTTTGACTATTATGCAAATGAGTAAGACAGCTATTGTGCTTCAACTGAGCAGCTGATAAAATTTTTACTAAGAATGATATAACCTTTCCCCACAGATCATTTGGAATCGAGTGGACTTAAATAACTAAAAGCAGCATTTGTTCAACTTTTCATCAGAGGAAATTATATCAATAATCTTAAGACTTTGTCATTGATATTAGAGCTAAAGATTAGTAGTTTAAAAAAATCGAGGAGTAAGAGGGAGAATCCTAATATTCACAGAACACACCAGGCTTGTTAACCTACTCAACTCTTTCAACTGAACACTTTCTAAAAGCCTCCATAGCTCTCCTGGTCAAATACTAGCTAAGCATGCTGCTTTTATTATGTTGAGCACTCTAAATGTGTAACTGACAATCAGGCAGGTACATCAAGCTTTGGGGGGGTTATCGTCAGTCTGGGGAAAAATAGGGACATCATAGTTGGTATGAGCCAGAGAGGAAAAGTGAAACCACTCTAGGCATTTCAAAGTGAATTTAATATAGCGGATTGGCTACTAGGTGACAGGAAGCCAAATAGGACTCAGTGAGGCAACTGGAGTTAAGTGAGGAATGACTACCACCTCGAGGGCCAGAGGGACAACAGGAAGAGGTGATATTCCCAGAATCCAAAGCCAGTGCTAGCTGATGGGAAATGGTACTATGGAGGCTACTTAGAAGGATCTGCTACCACTGAAGGAGGAGTTGGAGCCGCAGTCAAGACTCAGCTGCTGCCACAGACAACAAAGAAAGCAGAGAGAGGGAATGAGAAATACTCTATCTCCTCCCCTCCTCCAACCCTCCAGCCTTGCATTAGTGCATTCCATTGGCTCAACCTATTCAGAAGCCAGAAGGCAACAGACTCTGGGAAATGTGGTTTCCAGCAATCTGTAGCTGGAAAGGAGATGAACCAGGAATGGATCCAAGAGCAAACAGGCAGTAGACCAACACAGACATTTACAGAGTAAGACAGCTAATGTGCACACTCAGTTGCTCAGTCACGTCTGACTCTTTGCAACCCCATGGACTGTATAGCCTGCCAGGCTCTTCTGTCCATGGGATTAGCCCGGCAAGAATCCAGGAGATCTTCCCAACCCAGGGATTGACCCCAAGTCTCCTGTGGAGGCAGAAAGATTCTTTACCACTGAGCCACCTGGGAAGCAGGAGACAGCTAATACATGACTGTTAAGAAAGAGCAGTGGGAAAGGAAGATAGAGATCACCAAGGACTGAGAAGATTGGAAAAAACTCACTGAAGTAGAAGACAGGACTAAACTTATCCATTCTTATGCACAGACAGCTGAGCACTATCAAAAGATGTCTCAAGAAGTAGAAGAATAAAAGAATGACCATTTGTTGAACATCTTTGCCCAGATCCATTGCCAACCCTTCTCTATGCCCTGGAGGATGATCCCAGCAGATTTCTTCTCATGGGCTCCCTTGTCTGCTAATTTCCAGTGAGGTCTGGCCAAGTGAAGACACTAGCAGGAGACGAACAGGTAGGAAGAGAGGGAAGTTGGGATATTTCTTCTCCAGTAGCTGCATTCTTCATGCCTAGTGGCCCTTTTCTGGTTCAAGATCAAACAGGGCTCTGAGAACACTGTTTCTCTCTCTGTCCCTTCAGCCTTAAGTATTATAATGATTCTCCACTGTTAACTAGTGTTTGAGTACCTTAGCATCTCTTACCTGTTCCCCCAACCCTTCCAATATCTTTTTAAGTAGTCCCTTCATTAGGTCTGCAGTGAATTCTGTTCCTTCTGACACCTTCTGACAGCTGGGATTCAAATCAAGTCTAGAGCCTGCCAAAGTTACCGCTCCACAGATAGAAAGTTTTCATTCAAATATGTTTTAGCAATATATTATTGGAAAATAATCTATGAATTTGGCTTTACATTTTCTCAGGAGATAAATTTCATCCAGTGATAATAATTAAAATGTGTATGTATATATAGGTATAAAGAAAGAAGGAGGGATTAGGAGAGAGGGGGAAACACAGGGCGACTGAATGCATGTTTTATGTTTCCTTATCTGTGGATGTGGGCTGAAAAAACTAATTTTATCTGATTTTCAGAGACAAGGGAACTATAACTCACTGAGTTTACCTTACAACAGAACCAAAACTGTAACTACAGACTACAGATTCTGTATGGGTTTGTACATTTGTATATTTGTTCTTCTTTGTGCATTTCTGCCTGTTATAGGGGGAAAAAAACACAGTAATTAAGTGGTGACTCAGTTAATTACCTAAAATAATACTAATTTTAGTTATGGTGTATACCTAAATAATTAAGGAATGCCACTGTTTTCTGTTAATTGGTTGTAAAGACATTTGTATAGTCGGTAATTTTAGAAATCCCATTGAATCAGCTGATAACATGCATAAGCATTTTGTAATTCATTCTTAATATTAATCTGATTTCATATTTATAAGCCATAATCACTAGAAAGTGAAATCTTTAAATATTTATTCAGAATTAAAAATTTTATGTAGTATTATAGAAAACAACGGCAACAGAAATATGTAATGATGGCTTTACAAGCTATTTGAAGTGTGAACTTTCCCATGTCACTTGTTGGGTATGGCCAAGGCTCTAAGGGAAAAGACTGCACCCAGCACTGTGCTTGGGGCATGACAGATGCTTGATTTGTGTTTGGTAAATAATCTTTTAAGCTGCCCAATGTACCACACATTTAGAGGTGTCCAATTTAGTTTCATAATAATGGCCAGTATTAACTGAGCAATTACTCTAGTCATATACTTTTCATGATAAAACTATTCATAAATATATCTTATTTCATTCCCACAAGAATCCTATGAGATAGGTAGGATTACTGCTCCTAATTTAGAGAGAAAACTCAGACTTAAGGTAGTTAACAAATTTGGTGATGGATACACCTTGAGTTAGGATTCAGACCAGACTGTCTGATTTCAGGTTCTGGAGTTTCCTGTTCTTTGCCATTTAACCAGACTACTTCCCTCCCTGAAGTGACAGCTCCTCAACAGATGTTAGTTCTTATCATTTCCGCTATTGTTGTCATTATTAAATCACGAGAGTGAGCTAGCAAGCAAAGGTACATTGTTAGTTACAGAGATTTAAATATATGGTTAATAGAGTTAGAAAAGGGAGTTCTTCCCTGCTCTTTTCCAAACAATTTGAGGGCTGTCTTTTGTCCTCTCTTCCCTCTCCAGTCTATTCTTCACATTTCAGAGGAGGTCAGAAGGAGTTAAAGGAGACAGCAGCCGGGGAAAGCAAAAGGAAAAGGGGAAGGAGTGTGCTCAACTATTTCTTAGGTTGAGACCTTGCCAGCTTTAAACACAAAAATGCCTACTTCTCAAAAGAGAAACCCAATTCAACTGCAATTTAAGCTCAGTGGAGTGATTGCTGAATGCCTATACTTGTGACATGAAAACTGCTAGGAGAAACAGAAGGCATTTCTTTAAACAGTTTTTTACAGAGATACGGACTGTCTATACCTCCGTGCTCCAAACACCTCATTTCTAAAAAGACCAGTAAGAGTCCAGTTAGCAAGGAGTCCCCATTGATCACATTTGAATGTCTGGCTTATATTACTTATGCTCTGACTTTATTTCAGAAAAATGAGGTGCACTGTCACAGGTGCACATAACACTGTGAGGAAAAGAGAGGTGACAGGAAGTAAGGAGAGCAGACACACTCATCTTGTTTGGGTGAAGCTTGCGTACAACAGCGTTGGGGGTTTTGTACTGTTGTTGTTTCAGTCACTAAGTCGTGTCTGATTCTTTTGGGACCCATGGACTGTAGCCTGCCAGGCTCCTCTGTTCATGCGATTTCCCAGGCAAGATTAGTGGAGTGGGTTGCCATTCCTTCTCCAGGAGACCTTCCTGACCCAGGGGCCAAACCCACATGGCCTGCGTTGGCGCTGAGCCGCCAGGGCAGCCCTCGGCTGTGCCGTAGGCTTCATCCAAACAAAACAAATGTGGCTGTTACCTTTGTTTGTGGTTTGTCAGTGCTCTCTACGTCTCGGTAAAGCTCTGTGGCCTTTTGTGTTATGCAGACAGACGATGCCATGTTTTATAGCACTAAGCACGTCGCATGTGTGTTTTCAATGACTATTAGAGAATGTTCAGTATTGTTGTTAGTCACTCAGTCGTGTCTGACTCTTTGTGACCCCATGGACTGTAGCCCGCCAGGCTCCTCTGTCCATGGGATTCTCCAGGCAATAATACTGGAGTGGGTTGCCATTTCCTTCTCCAGATGTTCAGTATGGTAGAATATAAATTATATACCTTTATCTTGGCTTTAATAACATAATGTTGGCATTATTTGTGATTTATTCAATGCTAAGCCACTGGTTGTGAGTGTTATTCTTTGTAGATAAAACTCATTCCCCATTCCTCATGTCCCCTTGGAGGGGAACCAACTTAGAAAACCATCTTGGCCTCTCTCTCTCTCATCCTTTACTTCTTGGGAGGATTTTTCTAATAAATCAAGTTTGGAAGAATGAACTAAGAACGCTTGTCTCAAACCCTTCCTATCTCTTCTTGGAACCTGCCGGTTTGCCAACAGGGAGTTTTCTTGTGTTATTCTTTTCACTAAGGGGAGAGTGTGACAGGGCGGACTCAGTCCCTGCCTCCTGGTTCTGCTGCTTTGGGGGAGCTGGCGTCATGTATTACTGGAGGGATGGATGCGTTAGCAGGTCCATGTGGCCACACTTAAGCCATGTTGTCCAAATAGGTTTATCAGTATCAAAAGAGATGTTGATCTCCCTGCCAGATTCCTCTGCCTACCTCTCAGCTGACTGGAAACATGAGAGAGAAAGGCATGTCATTTAGTACCTCAAATCCCTCTGGTACTTCCAACTGGAGTAATCCTTAGAAAAAGGGAATTCCATCTTTCTGTAGCCTGGTTTACCATGGGCTTCCAGCACTTGCAGGCTCTGAGTTAGGTCTACCTGATTCCTACCTGTGTGACCCTGGTTGGATAAGTCATCTAACCTCTCAGTTTAGTTTCTCTGTTAAATGGAACTATATACTGTTATACAAAATGTAGATTAAATACAACGGCGCAGTTAGCACAGCACCTACTCAGTAATTGCTGGCTAACATGGCCATCACTGCTGTCTTGTACACCATTAAGGACTGCACGCATCTCAAATGTTTCTGTGCCTGATTTTTTTTTTCCTTTTTTTTGGCCACAACATGCAACTTGTGAGATCTCACTTCCCAGACCAGGGACTGAACTCAGGCCCCAGCAGTGAAAGCCTGGAATCCTAACCATTAGGCCATTAGGGAACTTCTTCTATGCCTGATTTTTAAAACCAAAAAAAACCACCAGAAAACCACTCTGAGAATAATAATTTAAAAAAAAAAAAGTAAGAAAGGTCAATGCGTGGAAATCAAAATAATGTGTTAATAATATTTGTTGGCATTTGTGCACTATGAGAAAAACCAAAGAAACCCACTCGTAATTGCCAAAGTGGGTCACAACAAAATCCACCAGTTTGTTGGAAATGTTGACGGTCAGCGTGATGGCTGGTGCAATCTCGCCCTCTGGTGATGGAAGAAGGTGATGCTCCGATTTCACAATTGGGTATCTTGACAAAACCATAATCCTGTATTTAAATGGAAAGAAACATGTGCATCACTATTGGTCCCACCATCTCATGCCAACAGGACTGAGAATATGTGTTCTTAGGGATGCGCACACATCAAGCATCTCACGATGGGCCTTGAGAGCAACAGTGTGGTGAAGACGGACAGGACCTTCTGTAGAATGACTCACTGCAAGAGGACTATTCAGCATGTCTCACTGTGTCACCAGGCACAATGCTATCAACTTTGTCTCATAAGTGCCATGGAGACACGAAAAGGGCGGGATTAGGGCCACACAAATGGACACTCCATTTTACTCGCATTATTCGTCTGGCAACTGATCTGCATAAACAATTCTAATGTTAATCAACACATTTAGGAATGTACAATCCTGCCAGCCAAGACTCAGAGCAACAATTTAAAAAATTAGAAATTACAAATGGTCCAATAAAGATAGGAAAACATGTCCCACCTCACTCTAAGTCAGAGAACTACACATGGAAAGGGTGACCGGAGCTCAGACCTCAGCCGGCTTCTGCTCCCTGGCTTCGCACACAGTCTGGCCCCTCGTGAAGTTTCTCGCACAGAACCATCTCTACAGTGATGGTCCTGAACGCACATGCCCAGCTTCTGCTGGCCACCTCGGCCCTCCAAGCTGCCCACAACTGCCCACTAACATCACTTGACTATCCCAGGGCATCTCGAGCTTAGCACAATCCTGCTGTTCCCCTGGTCATTCCCGTCCCATTAAACAGCATCACCTCCTACCCAGGACTCAGGTAAAAAGCCCAGGAGCTGCCCTTGTCCCTCCCTGGCATCCAAACCACCAGGAAGCCCTGGGAATGCCCTGATGGTCCAGCGCTAGGACATGGTTCTCTCACTGTTATAGGCCTGGGTTTGATCTCTGGTCAGGGAACTAAGATCTCAAGCTTGACCAAAAAAAACCAAAAACAAAAAATCAAACACAAAACCCCCCAAACCCCCAAATCAGGAAGTCCTGTCAGCTCTGCTCCAAAAGAGCTCCTGAGTTTGCCCCCTTCTCCATCTCCACAACTCCCACTGTCATTTCTACCTGTGTTAGCACCTCTGCCTCATCACCTGTCTCCCTGCTCCCACTCTTGCCCCAAACAATCTGGTCTTCTAGGAACAGCTGGAATGATCTTCCAAAAACATATACCAGGTCAGACTGCTCCCATGTTTAAAATCCTCCAGTGGTTTTCCATCAAAACCGAGTTAAGTCAGTGCTAAGCATGGTTTATGGACCCTGTAAGGCCAAGGGCCCACTCCTGACCTCCTTTCTTACTAGTTCCCCCTCAATCTCCGTGCTCAGGCACACCACACGTGATCTGCCTCGGGTCCACACTGGCTCCTCCCATAGCTGTCCTAGTCCTCCCCATTGTGGGGTGGGCAGAAAGACCCCTCCTGACCACGCTGCCCACAACATCATCACCCACTGCCCTGCCTACCCTGCCACTCTCCTTTTCTACACAGCACTCACCACTATCTCAAATTATCTTATTTATTTCTGTGTGTACATGATTATTTTCTGTCTTGTCACACTGGAATGTAAGCTCCATGAGGACGGCATGCGGGGCAGACATGTTTAGTGCTGTAGCCTCAGTTCCTACGTGGAATGGTTTATACTAGTGAAGAACTGAAAATATCCGGCAACAGAGAGACTATTAAAACAATGATGGAATATGCCTATCTTCAGCACCTCCTCATCCCCCAGGAAGCATCACTGGGACATACTCCTAGGGATAAGGCATAACAATATCAACTGTCCACTTCAAGCTTATGCTGCCTAGTCTTTTATATGTTCAGGATTCATTCTCAAGGTACACTCACCCCCAAGTGTGATCCCGTGCACTTGGACCAAAGTCAGTGTAGAAACCCAACTTCTCCCCTAACCACATGGTCAAGTCATTGTTTCCAATATAGGGCTTAGAAGCATCACTCTCCAAAATTGTTATGAAATCTGCACCTGTTCAGCGGGGAAAAAATGGACATGGTGATTAACCACAGCAATGTAAAAGCAATTATCAAAACTTGATTCTTGTAATCCCCTACCTTTAGTCATAGATCAAAAAACCAAGTAATTCCTAATGAGTTACTAAAGTGAACTGGCTCAAATCTGAGCTAAAAACATATTTACCATCTTTAGAATGTATGGGACACCTTGTGGAAATGGGGGAAAAGATCAAAACATAACTTTCCAAAATTTTCAAATATTCACATCTTTTCCAAAATTTCAAATATGCTTAGTGCCTTTCTCAAATATCTGATTTATGTTTGGAAACAAAATAGTGTACAATAGTGTTTTATTGCTGGGCAAACACTTCCATGGTACTGACACAGAGGTGAATTTATTCAGATACCCTGGTTGGATGTGCTGCAGAAGCCTGTAATCAGTACTACGTGATTAAGGGCCCAAAAAATTTCTTAATGGCATTAGAATCATACAAACCCTCAGCTATTTCTCAGAAGACAAGCTTATCTTTAGGAATAACTCCATGCAAGAGACCTCTAGTTGATCTAAGAGCCAAACACCCACATATTTTAAAGGAGGCTTCATCCAAAGATGAGTGCCCCAGGGAATGGAAACAAGTAAAACTGGCCCACAGGCTCCTGAAAGCAATTTGCTTTGCAAATAAGCATCACTGCACCCCATTCTGCCTTTTAATCTGACGGTTTTCTGGTCCTCAACATCAGGTTCCCAAGCGACAGAAGCCTCCAGCAGGGGCATCTCCAAGAGCAAAGGCATGACAAGACTGTCCTGCAGACACCTGGAATGAGACCTTGTCCTAGAATCACTATTTAAAGACCTAGAGGAATAGGGTGGAGAGGGAGGTGGGAGGGGGGATCAGGATGGAGAATATATGTAAATCCATGGCTGATTCATGTCAATGTATGACAAAAACCACTACAATATTGTAAAGTAATTAGCCTCCAACTAATAAAAATAAAGGAAAAAAAAGAAAAAAAATTGTTTTCAAGCAAACACAGATGTGGTTACAGAAGCTTCATCCTCCTGTAGCCACCCACCAAAGTAAAGCCTTTTTAAGAGATTAGTTTATGACCCAGCACATCCTGCTCCGATTACTTATGATCTTGCATAAAATGCAAATAACAATAATAGCTTCTCAAAGCCTGAAATTAATTCCAGTACAACTTACCCGTTTGATTGAGCAGTTGAGCTGATCTTTCTAGACTAGACCATCCGTCATTGTCAAAGCCAAACCTAAAAGGCCAGATGGCAGCAGAGACCTCTGTGGCTGGTGCCTGAGGAATTGTTTTAATGATAATTTAGGACAACCGAACAATGGCAGTTTCAGTGAACCACTTTTCTCCCCCTCTGTCTACCCGAATTCATTTTTCAGCAAAGGAATTTTCAGGCATTTGCCCACAGCTAATGCATAATCAAGGCTTCCCTGGTGGTTCAGACAGTGAAGAATCTCCCTGCAATGCAGGAGACCTGCGTTTGATCCCCAAGTTGGGAAGATCCTCTGGAGCAGTATTCTTGCCTGGAGGATGCCATGAACAGAGGAGCCTGGTGGGCTATAGTCCATGAGGTCGCAGAGTCGGACATGACTGAGCAACTAATACGCAATGCATAATCATAAGGAGATATTTGCTAATCGGTATTATCATAACAAATTTGTGAGTTTCTAGGTTAGGCTTGGAAGTTAGGAGGAATGTTTGGAAAGTGATATTTATAAGAGCAAAGAATTAGAAACAATCTGGCTGTTGTTTCAGTAGGAAAAATAAGAAAATGAATGAAAAAAAAGATCATACATATACTGGAAGACTACTCAACCCTAATGAATGATTTAGGGTTGGGGTTACCCTTGCATTAGATAAGAAAGGGATCCCAAAAGGGTACACAGAGTCCTTTACCATTTTTGCAGAGTGGCCTGCCAATTCTGCACTGGCAAGGCTGAGGTTCAAGAACACAGCACCCTCTGAAAATTCCTCTATTGAGTCCATGAGCCCAGTCAGAGAATGCAGTACCCAATCCTAACTATTTCAAACTAACTCCAGCTGACCAACAGCATGGATCCCATGAAAGAGTATGGCCAGATTAGACCAACTATACTACCAAAACTGAGAAGAACAAAGTGGAACATAAAAATAAATAATAAATAATATAAATAAATAAAAATTCAGGTTGAGAGAAGAATGAATGCCGCCTCTTGGCAGAGGAGGGCCAAGCGGCTCGGTGTGCTGCAGCAGGCCTCTCATCTCTACACGAGAAAGATGACTCCATTTAGCAACGTCCTATAAAGAGAATGGAGCCATCAGCAGAGACTTCCAGAGGCATGATTACTTTTTCACATCACTACATACCTATGATTCACTCTGGCTTTCATCACTCCAAAATCTGTTATTCTTTCATTATTCCCATGTCAGTAAATGTCACCACACTCCACCCAGTTGCTCAAGCCAAAAGCATAGAAGTCATCCTCAATTCTTCCCTTCCCTTCATCCATCTACATCTAACCCATCAGTAAATCCTATCAGCTCTACTTTCAAAATATATTCTAAGTCTATCCACTCCTCTCCAATTCCAGTACCATGGCACCCATCCAAAATTCCAGGGTCTCTCTCTTGGACACTTGAAAAAGCCTTATAACCTATCTCCCTCCTTCCACTCTATAATCCATTAATCCATTCTTTACAAAGCAGCCAAATTTACATATACAGGCTTCCAAGGTGGTGCAGTGGTAAGGAAACCTGCCTACCAATGCAGGAGATGTAAGAGATGCTGGGTCAGGAAGATTCCCTGAAGGAGGGCACAGCAATACTCCAGCATTCTTGCCAGGAGAATCCCATGGACATGGGAGCCTGGTGGACTATAGTCTATAGGGTCACAAAGAGTCTGACACAACTGAATTGACTTAGCACACATGCGCGCACACACACACACATATACATATATATCATATCATATCTCTTTGTGCTAATGCTTGAAATATTCTGGTGGCTTCCACTACAAGAAAACTAAAATCAGAATTCCTTCCTATGCTCTATAGGCCCTACATGATGTGATCTCACTTGTGTCCCCATCCTCATCTTCTGCCACGCTGCCCTTTGCTCGCCAAGATTCAGCCACACTGCCCACTCTGATGCCCTTCAAACACTCCAAGTCTGTTTCCTTTCCATTCTTTACTTGTGTTCCTTCTACCTGAATCCTTTACTCCTTGCTCTCTTATCTCAACTCAAACGTCACATCCTCAGAGCAGCCTTCTCTAACCACCCAGACCAGTTACTCTCTACTCCATCATCTTACATGCTTCAGAGCCACCAGATCTAAAGTGAGTCTTTATTTATTCGTTCCTCTGAATACCATCTTTCTCCCCAATTAGAATGTAAACTCCATGAATTTACATTACCATGAGGGCAGGAATCTTGTCCAACTAGTTTACCTCTATATCCCTGATACCTGGCACACAAGAGACCTTCAATAAGCATTTATCAAGTAACATTCATGTATCACATGAATTAATCAATGAATGAACTAATTAAAAAACAGGCATTAAATCTAAATGAAATGATTCCTTTTTAAAAGAACCCCTTACTGATAGTGGGGATCTTCTTCTAATTGACATCTTGTTACAATAACTAAATTAACAATTGAAGGGCAAAAGAAAGAGACCATGTAATGAACTATTTACTTTTTAATAGTTACTGAGTTCTTAGTATGTACCAAGTACTCTGTGACATGCTGGACATACAAAGCTAAATAAAAGGAGCATGGGCTTCATTTTCACTATAGCTTTCTAATTAATGGGAAAATTTGCCTGATAATTCAGATTGCCAAAATTCAAAATTAACCCTCAAATTCTATTTTTGGCAACCTATAATTCTAACTGCATTATGAAACATATCAAACTTTTAATCAGAGCAGATGGAAAGCACCACATTGCAATGACTTACTCTTGCTTCTGCCCACCTGCCTAGAAGAGAAAAGGACAATAAAACATTAAACTATAGACAAGAGAGGAAAGGAAGAGATGAGAAAACTTCCATGACCCATCAATACCAAGCATAATCCACAAAATCTAGAATTATCTTTAAGATTTTTCTTAGAATCATATATGTTGCCTTCAGAAATATCTACCAAACAGTTCAAAGAAGTCCACTATAAAATAGTTTTTTATCTCATAGTTTGGATATGGAAAGTCATTGAATGACAAAAATAACTTTACATAACAAATCATGATGAGTTTAACTCTAATATGTGGGTCTATCCTGTCCCAAGAACCTAACTTCATAAATCAGTTCCACTATGTTGTCAGCCGGTGATCTAACGGTTTGCTGTTGCTGTTTTTGTTGCAGATTAGTCGCTCAGCTGTGTCCAACTCTTTGTGACTCCATGGACTATAACTACCAGGCTCCACTGTCCACGGGATTATCCAGGCAAAAATACTAGAGTGTATTGTCATTTCCTTCTCCAGGGGATCTTCCTGACCCAAGGATCGAATACTGTCTCCTGCATTGCAGGAGGGTTCTTTACCACTGAGCCAATGAGGAAGCCCAACCTAAAGGTTAAGAAAGTGGAATCCAAAGCCCTGAAGTCCTCAGACCCAGGTGTAGGGTTCAGTCATAATGGTGAAGTATATAAATGCATGCATATACATAGGCATCATTTAAAATTCTATATCAAAACTTTTAATTACTTACCCCTTTACCCAATTTCTTCTCATAGGTTTTATGCCGTAGTCCTAATCCCAACAATCCCACACCAACAAGCAGCCACAAAACTGAACAAAAAACAGAAAATAATTGTTTAGAAGAAACTAAGCTTATTTTTTAATAGTTTTAATGAAATTATTTAATTTATTGAATGATTATCTCAATAGATGCAGAAAAAGCCTTTGACAAAATTCAACATCCATTTATGATAAAAACTCTCCAGAAAGCAGGCATAGAAGGAACATACCTCAACATAATAAAAGCTATATATGACAAACCCACAGCAAACACTATCCTCAATGGTGAAAAACTGAAAGCATTTCCCTTAAAGTCAGGAACAAGACAAGGGTATCCACTCTCACCACTACTATTCAACATAGTTTTGGAAGTGTTGGCCACAGCAATCAGAGCAGAAAAAGAAATAAAAGAAATCCAGATAGGAAAAGAAGAAGTAAAACTCTCACTGTTTGCAGATGACATGATCCTCTACATAGAAAACCCTAAAGACTCTACCAGAAAATTATTACAGCTAATCAATGAATACAGTAATGTTGCAGGATATAAAATTAACACACAGAAATCCCATGCATTCCTATATGTTAACAATGAGAAAACAGAAAGAGAAATTAAGGAAACAATACCATTCACCATTGCAACAGAAAAAATAAAATACTTAGGAGTATATCTACCTAAAGAAATGAAAGACCTATATATAGAAAACTATAAAACACTGATGAAAGAAATCAAACAGGACACAAATAGATGGAGAAATATACCGTGTTCATGGATTGGAAGAGTCAATATTGTGAAAATGGCTATACTACACAAATCAATCTATAGATCCAATGCAATCCCTATCAAGCTACCAACGGTATTTTTCACAGAACTAGAACAAATAATTTCCCAATTTGTATGGAAATACAAAAAACCTCGAACAGTCAAAGCAATCCTGAGAAAGAAGAATGGAACTGGAGGAATCAACCTGCCTGACTTCAGGCTCTACTACAAAGCCACAGTCATCAAGACAGTATGGTACTGGCACAAAGACAGAAATACAGATCAATGGAACAGAATTGAAAGCCCAGAGATAAATCCACATACCTATGAACACCTTATCTTCAACAAAGGAGGCAAGGATATACAATGGAAAAAAGACAACCTCTTTAACAAGTGGTGCTGGGAAAACTGGTCAACCACTTGTAAAAGAATGAAACTAGAACACCTTCTAACACCATACACAAAAATAAACTCAAAATGGATTAAAGATCTAAATGTAAGACCAGAAACTATAAAACTCCTAGAGGAGAACATAGGCAAAACACTCTCCAACATAAATCACAGCAGGATCCTCTATGACCCACCTCCCAGCATATTGGAAATAAAAGCAAAAATAAACAAATGGGACCTAATGAAACTTAAAAGCTTTTGCACAACAAAGGAAACTATAAGCAAGGTGAAAAGACAGCCTTCAGAATGGGAGAAAATAATAGCAAACGAAGCAACAAAGGATTAATCTCAAAAATATACAAGCAACTCCTGCAGCTCAATTCCAGAAAAATAAATGACCCAATCAAAAAATGGGCCAAAGAACTAAACAGACATTTCTCCAAAGAAGACATACAGATGGCTAACAAACACATGAAAAGATGCTCAACATCACTCATTATCAGAGAAATGCAAATCAAAACCACAATGAGGTACCATTACACACCAGTCAGGATGGCTGCTATCCAAAAGTCTACAAGCAATAAATGCTGGAGAGGGTGTGGAAAAAAGGGAACCCTCTTACACTGTTGGTGGGAATGCAAACTAGTACAGCTGCTATGGAGAACAGTGTGGAGATTCCTTAAAAACTGGCAATAGAACTGCCATATGACCCAGCAATACCACTCCTGGGCATACACACCAAGGAAACTAGATCTGAAAGAGACACGTGCACCCCAATGTTCATCGCAGCACTGTTTATAATAGTCAGGACATGGAAGCAACCTAGATGCCCATCAGCAGACGAATGGATAAGGAAGCTGTGGTACATATACACCATGGAATATTACTCAGCCATTAAAAAGAATTCATTTGAATCAGTTCTAAAGAAATGGATGAAACTGGAGCCCATTATACAGAGTCAAGTAAGCCAGAAAGATAAAGACCAATACAGTATACTAACACATATATATGGAATTTAGAAAGATGGTAACGATAACCCAATATGCAAAACAGAAAAAGAGACACAGATGTACAGAACAGACTTTTGGACTCTGTGGGAGAAGGCGAGGGTGGGATGTTCTGAGAGAATAGCATTGAAACAAGTATACTATCAAGGGTGAAACAGATCACCAGCCCAGGTGGGATGCATGAGACAGGTGCTCGGGCCTGGTGCACTGGGAAGACCCAGAGGGATGGGGTGGGGAGGGAGGCGGGAGCGGGGATCGGGATGGGGAACACATGTAAATCCATGGCTGATTCATGTCCACGTATGGCAGAAACCACTACAATATGGTAAAGTAATTAGCCTCCAACTAATAAAAATAAATGAAAAAAAAACTTAATAAAACAATTATTAACATCAAAACAAAGAAGAAACTAAGCTTATTTTTTAATAGTTTTAATGAAATTATTGAATTTATTAGCCATGGATTTTATGTAAAGGGGAAGTGTCTATTTCTCGGGTTAATTTTCATGTTTGACATGCATATATAACCCATACTTTAAGCTCAGACATCAAAGAAGCTTTGCTAAAAATGTTCCAAGAACCATGAAAATAAAACAAATAAATAAAATAAAATCATAAATATATACAAGAAAACAGTTCTCCACGAGCAGGAACCACTGCAAAAACACCGTGCAGAATCAAGCCCAAAATATTTCTTATATTAAAATTTTTAGAATCCAAGGCTGAATGTCAAAGAATTGATGCTTTCAAACTAATGGTGCTAGAGAAGACTTTTAAAAGTCTCTTGGACTGCAAGGAGATCAAACCAGTCAATTCTAAAAGAAATCAACCCTGAATATTCACTAGAAGGACAGATGCTGAAACTGAAGTGCCAATGAAGCTGATATGAACAGCTGATTCACTGGGAAAAAGCCCTGATGCTGAGAAAAGTTGAGAGCAGGAGGAGAAGGGGGTGACACAGGATAAGATGGTTGGATAGTATCACCGACTCAATGGACACAAGTTTGAGCCAACTCTGGGAGATAGTGACAGACAGGGAAGCCTGCAGCACTGCAGTCCATGGGATCACAAAGTCAGACATGACTTCACAACTAAACAGCAACAACAATGCAGTATATTGGGGTTTCTCTGGTGGCTCGGTGTTGAAGAATCCACCTGCAATGCAGAAGACACAGGAAACGCAGGAGACTTGGGTTCAATCCCTGGGTCGGGAAGATACCTGAAGGAGGGTATGGCCACCCACTCCAGTATTCTTGCCTGGGAAATCCTGTGGACAGAGGAGCCTGGTGGGTTACAGTCCAGGGGGTCGCAAAGAGACATGACTAAGTACGGATGGGTGTGTGCTAAGACACTACCTGCAAATGTTATACATTCAATAAACATTTTTATTTAATCTAGTATATTCTGAGATGAGTCAGACTGAATAGTAAACTAATTTGATATTTGTTTCTGCTCATCAGTATTTCAAACACTAACATATTTGATTTCCAAAAAAGGAGAACAAGAAACAAAATAAATAGTCTCAACAATTTCAACAAATATTCTGGAAATCCTAGTTAAATCTATGTTAGGAGTGAAACAAAACTAACACAGAGTATTTATGGTTGAAATGATTCAATAATCAGATATCTCCTTTAAAGTATTTCATAAAAAAAAAGGTATGAACAACATGGGCAAAATGTTAATAATTGTTGGAACTGTGTTAAAGGGTACATGTGGGTTCATTATACTTTTTAATCTCACATGTTTGAAAATTTACATTCATAATAAAATGCTTTTTAAAATAAAGCAAAACTATACTCACAAAGTTTCACGCATTTTTCACTCTTCCTGAAAAGCACTTTAGGACTGTTTTTTGTTTGAAAATGAAAATCATTGCTTTTCTTGGGACCCAGTAGCATATTCAGCCCAATAATTAGCATCACTGTCCCTGTCAAAAAAGAAAGATGAATATATCACATTTTGATCCAAAACTATTTCCAGTGGCAAATTCCAGGAGCCTAAATTCCATTTAAATGGATATATCTTGAAAATTCAGTTACTGAGTTATCTTAGTACCTAAGCAGTTACTTACTCCAATACTACTTTTAATTATTGGGATAATCGTAAGAAATCAGGAAGGGTTCTAGAAATTAAGCTGTACATTAAAAGACCCCGATCTTTTCTTGATAAGGGGCTTCTTATAATTTCCTGAGTATTGCATAGTTGTTAGGTTGGCAGTAGTTTTGGTTACTGACTATTGATCGTCCAGGGAAGGGTGGGACAAAAAGAAAGTCATCTTCTGGACTGCCTCAAGGACTTGGTCTTCTCCACCAAAGGGACCATATGCACCGCATTGAGGAGCACAAGAAGAGGACACCTAATATGAAGAGTATTAATAACAAGAAGAGGTTCTTAATATGGCAGCATTCACGGCCTGGATTGTGTGTCCAAGCAGAGGATGCACACTGGAACTCACACGGAGCTGAGAAAGATAAGCTCAACTGGGATGCATTTCTGTGTAGCTTACACATGAAGTCAGCATACTTCTAACATGGTATATAATGAGAATTAGAGGTGTGATTGAGCAATATATAAATTAGGGAATGTCAGGTAAAAGATGCTTAGGTGGAAGGCTAAAAAAAAAAGTTATGTGCTAGGAAATAGCAGGAGAAACCTAGACAATACATTTATAACTAGTTTCTGATCTAATACAGATTCTTTACAATGGTTAGTCAAAGCTACTCTGAACTTCACGGATGTTCCTCAGTTTCTGTGGCCTTATCAACATAATGTCACTATTACTAAAAAGAATTCTTAGTTATTTGAAGCTGTAATAAAGCATGATTTCTGCAATTCCACAAGTAGTTAGAAGGAACTCAAAATGCCTGTTGCTCATAACATTCTAAAGAAAGAAACGTACGCTTAGAATGCCTCTTACTTTCGTTCCATTGCTCCACATGGCAGACCCCCAAGCAAGACGGAGTAAGAAAAAAAGCAGGGCATTGGACAGGAAGATAGAGCAGGACAGAGCACACACACCTGAAAGAAATCAGAAGAAAGACAAAGTTCGCAAAGCCAAGACTATCACAGAGGAAATACAGCAGTGTATGTCTCTGATTGGGTCACAGCTTTGATATCTACCAAAAACAGCAAATCCTCAAAAGTTGTTTTAAAGTATTTCACATAATTAAAAAATACCTCTTCCAAACTGGCCTGTCCTGACAAATGTCTAGCTCACAGAGAAGAAAAGTTTATGTGCACATGCACAGAGTGGTTGGCTGTATTCCACGGGCACAAGGGGGACGAACAGACAAACACAAGTCAAGCCCAGACTTCTGTGCAGCATTCATCCCAGCATAGCTCCCTAAGTGTCTGTCTAATGGGATGCGTGGTGTTTCCCCCACAACAAAGACGCTCCAGGTGCCCAGGATTCTGTCTCTTAAATCTCCGGTACCTGGCACTAGGCCTGGACCACAGTAGGTGTGCGATAATTTTTTAATGAATAAATGAACAAGTAGAAAAATGTGTGAACAAACAAGAACTGAGTGTTAGTTGCTCAGTCGTGGCCAACTCTTTGTGACCCCCGTGGACTGTAGCCCACCAGGCTCCTCTGTCCATGGAATTCTCCAGGCAAGAATACTGGAGTGGGTCGCCATTTCCTTTTCCAGGGTTTATCTTCCTGACCCAGGGATCGAACCCAGGTCTCTGGCATTGAGGGCAGATTCTTTACCATCTGAGCCACCAGGGAATCCCTTATTAAAATATGTTTTATCTCCTCAGTTTTGCAAAGATTTTATCTTGGAGGCATTGGACATGTTTTACTTAAAACTAAAATGACAGGCAACATTTGATCTGTGTCTGCTTGGTATACATCAGTAACTTCATTACTGCCAGAAGACAATTTCTGAAATATTAAACTGAGCTAAGCCTATGAAATTTAATTTTGGTATGTACGGTCATAATAATTGAAATGGAAGATATGTACTCTGTGATTTTATCATTTACATTTCACTTATCATTTATCATTTACACTAAGATTCACATATGCAAAATCTATTTTATTGGTAAAAAGAGGGTAAATAAAAACCATACATAAAATTCAGGAGAACCAAAAAAAACATACTTCATATATACATATTTACAAGCCTACCATCAAAATAGCAATGTGAGCACCATGCTCATATTTTTTCCTTACATATCACATAATACAGTGTTTCATGGGCCTCTTTTATACCTTATTATGGGTTAAACTTGGTTTTTTCACAGTTATTTATTTCCAATGGCTTCCCAGGTGGCTCAGTGGTAAAGAAGTCATCTGCCAAGCAAGAGACTTGGGCTCAGTGCCTGGGCCTGGAAGAGCCCCTGGAGAAGGAAATGGCAATTCACTCCAGTATTCTTGCCTAGAGAATCCCGGGGCAGAGGGCTACGGTCCATGGGGTTGCAAAACAGTGAGACATGACTCAGCAACTAAACAACAACAAATTTACTTCCAAGGCCTTTGCAGTAATAAATATTACTGAAAGTCATCAATGAAATAAGAAATTTCTTTCTTTTTTCAACTTACATTTTTTAAAGCCACACAGCATGTGGGATCTTAGTTCCCCAACCAGGGATTGAATCTGCACCCCCTGAAGTGGAAGCAGGGAGTCTTAACCACTGAAACGCTTGGAAGGTCCCAAGAAATTTTTTTTAAATAGTAATTTAAGACATCCCTCCAGTGTTTTTTTTTTTTTTTTAAACCAAAACAGTCTATTTCAATAAGAAAGACAAAATCATCCTATTTATTCTAATCAGTCATGTAGTGTTAAATCCCAGTCAGTGCTGAAGGGAATGTTTGAGTAGTGACTTGACTGCAGATCTTTCAAATGTACTCACCCAAAAGCACATCAGATCTTTCTCGGGCATACACACCTCCTGGGACAAATTTAAAAGCCGTGCACCAGGCACAGAAAAATATTTCTAGAAGATAAAATATCATGGCAGTGGTCATGGCTTTCCCAGGGCTTGAGCCTGAGCTAATAAGGTGTCCAAGCACTTGAGGCCACATGGATGCCGTGAAGAGGGCAAGCACACAGCCAGACACAGCGGCTGCCCATGTGGGCAGGTAAAGAAGTCCTGCCGCCGAGGTCGCTCCTGTTTGTGAGAGACAGAAAGAAAACCAGTCACACAGGAAAGCAGTAACAGTGTCTTCCACTTTCTTTAAAAAAAAAAGAATAATAAACTTATAGGATGCTATTTAGAGCCAGAAGGGACCTCATGGGGCATGCTGGTTCAATTTCTAGACTGATGAGAAACTTAAGGTCTTGTCAAGGTTAATATATTTTGCTTAAGGTCACACAGCTAGTTACTTGCACAGCTGGAGGTGGAATGTAGGTCCAGGAAATCTCAGTCCAGTGCTAGGTCTTCGAGAAGAGCAGTGGAAGAGAAGAAGGTATTTTTAGGTTATTTGTGTTAAGATTCATATAGCAAAAACTGAAAAAAAAATGAAATTATCTGAAATAACAAGAATATGTTAATTTAATTTAACCAGCCAGATCTGCGACATTAGAAAACAGGTAAAGCCAGTGGTTTCTGAACATTTTTGTTAAGAGATTTTCTAAAGCAGGTTCCATCCATGTAAATGCTGCCCCTCATCCCACAATACATAAATTGACCTTCTCAATCTCACAGTCCTAAAGGAAGCTGTGACTTAGATTGCATTCCTGGGCTCACCGCTTTCTAGTTCTGCAGGCAGTTCATTCATGCACACATCAGCCTCTGAACTGCTGGGGGCTGTGGAATCTGCCTGGTCCATTGGAGGCACTTAGTAAATGTTTGCTAATTCACTGAGCCAGATCTGAAGGAATATGACCTTTCTCCATATTCCTATGAAATCGGCTTTGAGATGGCAGCACAGCACCCCATTTTGGAGCCATCAATATAATGCCTTTGCACAGAATATGACATTTTCTAGACACTGGACATTTCCGTCAACATTATATATAATAGAGACCCACCCTTTAAGGATGTCTACAGTAGCCTCTGACTGCTTGGGGAGAGAATTCGAGGAAGAGGGTCCAGCCAGCGTCTTAGCACCCCATGGCTCTCATCCACAGTGAGCGCTCCTGCACCATCACAGGACACAGCCATGGGACTGTCCTCCCCCACTTCAAAAAGAACATCGCTCAGATGGCAGTGAGAACCCAACCCATGTCATTTTCTGTATATATACAGAAGCATTTTTACATAAAAAAATGAAACCAAGCCACATATTAAGGATTATACTCTGCTTTTTTGTGGGACATTATGTCAAGAACATTTTTTTCATGTCATTAATATTTTTCTTCTAAAACATGTTTATGTATGTATATTCTTCCACTGGATAAATACACAACAAAAAATAAACAATCATTTTCTTACTGACGGACATTTAGAAAGCTTCCAACACTGTGAGGAACACCTTTCTTTGTCAATTAATCTCTCACTACATCTCTAATTATTTCCTTAAAATAATTCTTAAAAAGATTCTTTGAAGTACAACTACCGAGTCAGCAGACAAAAGCATTTTAAAGAGTCAATACTTGTGGTGCTTTCCTGAGAGGTTATAGCAGTTCTCACTTCCTCCAGAAACACTGCCAAAAGCATTTCTTTCTAAAAAGGTTTACCAAATTAATGATGAAATTTATAGCATACTTTGATTTTCATTTAGTTGATTATTCAATTCAGTTCAGTCACTCAGTCTTGTCTGAGTCTTTGCGACCCCATGAACCACAGCACGCCAGGCCTCCCTGTCCATCACCAACTCCCGGAGTTTACCCAAACTCATGTCCATTGAGTCGGTGATGCCATGCAACCATCTCATCCTCTGTCATCCCCTTCTCCTCCTGCCCTCAATCTTTCCCAGCATCAGGATTATTAGGGAGAGGGACTTTTTCTATTTGCCAATTTAAGTGAAAGGGAAAGTCACTCAGTCATGTCCGACTCTTTGCAACTCCATGGTCAATGCAGTCCATGGAATTCTCCAGGTCAGAATACTGGAGTGGGTAGCCTTTCCCTTCTCCAGGGGATCTTCCCAACCCAGGGATCAAACCAGATCTCCCACATTGCAGGCAGATTCTTTACCAGCTGAGCGACCAGAGAAGCTCCAAGTTTACCAGCTTACGATGACTGTTTTCCCAAAAAATGAGTCCTAATTAGATATTTTAATCTATGACATTGTTGCATCCATCTTACTACAAAGGAGGGAAAGAAAATCTCTCTTGAAATTACCCTTGACAGTGATCACTTTCATTTTTAATTTCATTTCTATTTTTAAACAGGCTACATATTTTCAATCCACTAAAATTGTATTTTTAAGTAGGTTATAAATTCAAAACCCAAAAATCTGGAAGGTGAAAAAGAGTCCCTCTGGTCCCCATGAGTTCCCCTTAGCAAAGATGACCAATGTTAGTATTTTCTTTGCCATCCTCTGGGAGGCAGTCTGTACACAGGAAGAAAAAGGCATATGTGTGCATTTTCCTCCCTTTTTGTACACCACTGGGACCATATGATTCACTGTTACTTTGCCTGTTTCTCTTAACCATGTAGCTTAAGTAGTGTTTTGTTTGAGGCTGAGTCCTCCCAAATTGTCAGGAAGCATTTAACAGGAGGCTTCCTGTGTGCTGTTTTGGATCTGTCAGGAAACCTTTGGCCCTTATTAATTCCTAATTAAGAGCAGAGGCACACCTTTCCTGGGGCTGAGGAATCCAGGCATTTCCTTTGTTAGTTTCTCATTATGGTGATAAGTACCCTCTTCTCTCTTTGATAGGGATCGCCTTGTGTTTTGTAAGTCTGGAATTTTAATCTTTATCTTTGTTGAGAATAACTACCTTGTAAGACAGTATATATGCCCACACCATGTTGATTAAAACACCTTTGCTCCATCAGAGCTCGGGTCCCCGTGTCTTTCTTTCCTTCTCTCTCTCTTTCAGGCTAATTCCTTGGAGCGCGGAGGCCCGCTGAGCTCCCTTTCTTGCCCGGGCTTCTAAGACCCTCTCGAGAAGGTGCACTGCGCCTTCACCCACTCGAGAGGGCGCCTGGTGCCTACGTGCAGCAGCGCAAGCTCTAAGAACAGGGCTTTATTGGCTCTCCGCATAAACCAGGGGATATCAGCCTCTTTCTCTCTCTTACTTTCTTATCGTCGACTCCAGACCACCAGGTTCCGGTCCATTAAAGGACCAACACCAAATAATCTTCCCCAAATCTTTATAATATCTAAGACAACAAGCAGAATTCATAATAATTGAATATTCCAATGATATTTATAATAACCAACACGTTCATTTTCAATTGACCAAGTTCCTCATACAATAAAATTATAAGCATTCTGTATAGTACCCTGGGGTCCTATCAGTGCATTTAGGACATAGATGTCTTTTTAAATAGAACTTTGATTTTACTAATTTAATTGGCATCAAGATCTAAAGTTCCTGTCTCTTCGCATCTGGGAAATTCTATTGGTCACTGCCATAATGAATTTCATACTCGGATCTAGTTGGGACTTAAACTGTACAATGAAAATATATGATTTCTTTTGCTTCACTCTACTTTGAGATGTTTTCCAGAGATGAATCACGGTGAAAAGTGGGCACCATCTCCAGATAATTGAGTTCCAGCTTACTTCAGGTGAGCACGCAGAGAGGGTGATAAGAGTTCATGAATTAATAGCCCTGCTTTCCTCTCTAGTGCAAATAGCCATTAGAAGCCTTAAATCGGCTCGCCCCTAGGGCCTTTTATTTAATACTTCAGAGAGATAGTCAAACTAGATTAGGTTTAATGCGCCAGGCTCTGCTTACTTATCTGGGGAAATAAATATAAGCATAAAACTATAAGTTCAAGGCTGCCTGTTCTTTACGTTTCTGTGGACCTCAGTTTTCCCGGGTTTAAAATGAAGCTGCTAATTACATGCCCAACTAACATTTTGCTCCTATGCCATGAGAAAAGGCATGATATAAATGCTGAACAAATTTCAATGCATTTCATGTTCTTTTTCCTAATTGCATACAGATTAAGAAGCTATATATGCTTACTGCACAATCAGCACTGAAAGGTTCTCTGGCCATTTTTGTGTGCAATCACAGGAGGCATTTCTTTGATGAGAAGAAAGGTTACTCCTAACATTATATTCACACCAAGTAATCCCTTAAGGAATGTCTACCTGAAAATACACAAACAAGTACAATCAGCTCAACATGACTGCAACAGTTTGCTCACACAGCTCTGGGAGGATGAGGACCTGGTTAACCTCAAGAATTGCCCAGCCTTCAGGCTGACACCAGAGAAGGCAATGGCACCCCACTCCAGTACTCTTGCCTGGAAAATCCCATGGATGGAGGAGCCTGGTAGGCTGCAGTTCATGGGGCCGAGAAGAGTCGGACACAACTGAGCGACTTCACTTTCACTTTTTCACTTGCACGCATTGGAGGAGGAAATGGCAACCCACTCCAGTGTTCTTGCCTGGAGAATCCCAGGGACGGGGGAGCCTGGCGGGCTGCCGTCTATGGGGTCACACAGAGTCGGACACGACTGAAGTGACTTAGCAGCGGCAGCAGTAGTGGGCTGACACACGCCTCCATGCAGGGCTGATGGCACAGAGGGTGTACAGAAGCATCCTGGGAGGTGGTGAAGGACAGGGGAGACTGGACCACTGCAGTCCATGGGGTTGCAAAGAGCTGGGTGTGACTTAGCGGCTTAACAGCCACCACCACCACCACCTATGAGGTTATTAAACCTTATCTTCCATTATCGTTATATGTTATCTCACAAACCCATACCCAGCATCTAGTACAAAACTCTGAATCACCTGCTTAATTAAAATGTATAAGGACATCTCTGTTCACATAAACCAAATACAGCATCTGCACTGTCGCAGAGTGGATTTTTTTTTTTTAACTTAACACTAAAACTGACTCTAACCAGTCCCGCCTTTTAAGGGGAAGGGAAAAGAATTGCATAATTCAGTCTCAGTAACAAAATAGTCACAATCATTAAAATAAGTAGACCGGGGACTTCCCTGGCCATCCAGTGGTTAAGACTTCACCTTCCCATGCACGGGGTGACGGTTCAATCCCTGGGTGGGCAGCTAAGATCCCACATGCCTTGGGGCCAAAAAAAGCAAAACATAAAACAGAAGCAATATTGTAATAAATTCAATAAAGATTTTAAAAATGGTCCATACCAAAAAACCTTTAAAAAAAAAAAAGTAGATCTTTCTGGAAATATGATAGTCTTCATCAACAGTCTACAATCCTAAAGGATGTGACTGGGCAGAAAGGGTACAGGCTTTTGAATAAACAAACGTGGACCCTCCCAAGACTGAAAAGAGGAGTAAAGAGTAAAACTGTTACCCGCAAAGAGAAAGGGAAATTGAACTTCACTGTGAAGTCCCAAAGGAGCACATTCCTGAAAACCAGAGAAGCAAGACAGGGGAAGCATTTTGGCCACATGACATGTCCAACCCTCCATCTCCTCAGACCATCTGTAAAACTGCTACAGACATCTGTACCCAGATAAGTTATCTAGGAGACAGGGAGAGGATGTCAGCATCATCAGGCAGATAAGACAGCTAAGGAGGAGTGGGGGAATGAGGAAGAGGAAGCAAGAACCTGGCGCCAGTAACCCCTGGTAACGGTGGTGACATCTGAGTTCTAGGGGCTGCAGCTGGTGAGACTGTCCCACCCACAAGAGCACATGCCTATATGGTCATCCCCTTCCACCCCAGGGGCATGTACTTGTGAGTAAATTGGACAACCAAGCATTTCTGCAGAGAAACCACACACCTGTAATCCACCAGATTAAACTGGAACCAGGAAACCATGAACAAGGTGAGAGCATCAATCCACTCGCCAAGCCCAGCAGAACTGCACCTCTGTTAAAAAAAAAAAAAAAAAAACAGACATGTTACAGGACATCTGACGCTGTTACTATTCCATTGCCCCAAATATAAAACGGAAGTGTATCTTCTACCTCTAGGCACATCCAAGAGACAATGTGAGTGTGAAGCAACCAATGAGCTCACGGAAGTCCACTGGGAAACAATATTACAGACGTCCAGAACACTGACATAAGAGCACCTCTGACTTGTCATGAATGACATCTGCAGTCTTTCATGATCAATGTCAACAAAGCAACTGAGCTTTCTCAGACTATTATAGTTCATGTTGGCCATGGGACATTTTAAATGACTCTGCCAAAGTCAAAAAGAAAAAGTCACTGGGAATAGTTTCTATTTAGTGTACCTCTTTTCATTCTTTTCTCAACCTCAGTCCTGCTTTTATCAATAGTCTCTGCCTTCCTAGGACTGAGGTGAGTTTGATAAATAATTATAAATTGTGTCTTTGAAAATAACCACAAACTATTTCATTCTTTAACTATTTTGGCAAAAACTTGTAGGAGATGGGGAGGAAAAAAAGAATTGAACTAAACAGGACTTCCCTGGTGGCCCAGTGGCTAAGACTCCACACTCCCAACATAGGGAGCCCAGTTTCAATCCCTGGTCAGGAAACTAGATTCCACATGCTGGAACTAAGAATTTGCATGTCACAATTAAGAGTCTGCATGCTGCAACTAAAGATCCTGGATGCTGCAACAAAGACCCAGTGCAACCAAATAAACTTTAATAAGAAATAAATAAACATAATATTAAAAAAAGAATTTAACTAAACTTTAGCGGGAAATTACAACATGGCACTCAATGAAGAAGCTATAACATAAATACACTAAAAAATATACAGTGCTTACTAGATAGCAGGAACTGTTTGAAGATTTTTACATATACTAGCTCAGCTAATTCTCACAGGTCTGTAAAGTAAATGCTATGAAAAAGTGAAAGTGTTAGTTGCTTAGTTGTGTCCAACTCTTTGCGACCCCATGGACTGTAGAACACCAGGCTCTTTATGGAATTCTCCAGAAGAGAATACTGGAGTGGGTTGTCATTCCCTTCTCCAGGGAATAACCTAAACCAGGGATCGAAACCAGGTCTTGCCTCATTGCAGGTAGATTCTTTACTGTCTCAGCCACCAAGGAAAGAAAACCAAAGTAAATGCTGTAATTATCCCCATTTCACAGCGGAGGACACTGGGGGAAAGAGAACTTGAGTAACCTGCTGGATATTAGTCATCGCCGCCCACACGGGACAAAGAATCTGAAACAGGCCCTCCGGCTCTGGAGTGAGGCTCTCAGCCACTCTCCTGCCTGCTCCCTCCCGCTAAGGTGAAGGATGGCCCTTGGTGTTCAGAAGACAGCGAAAAGCCTGAGAGGACACGGTTGATCACTGTCTATCTCCAAGTCAACAACAAACGTTGACGGGGACTTACTCTGTGCCAGGCTCTGTCCCAGGGGCTTGGGATGCGTCTGTGAACAAAAAGCCCTTGCCTTTACATGCTCACAGTCCAGAGGAGCCGCTCACCTGGCCTCACACAGTCCTTGATCGCCCCGGTCACCTCCCAGCGTCCCCTCAGCACAGGGGCAAACAGCCCTCAAGTGCCTTCATCTCCAGAGTACACAGTGATGTCCTGCTTGTCGAGCTGCTCACACAGAGGAGCAAGGTCTTCAACCACACCAGCCTATTTCTGGATTGCTTCCAAACCCAAACTCACCCAAATGGGTTCGGATCTGGCCCTGGATGGGGGTGTCCACTCACTGCCCATCTGGAGACAAGGGACACCTCTCCAAAAATCCAGTGGGTGAGGAACATGAGGCTGCCAAAGGCAGCGCCCGCCAACAACCAATCCAGACCAGAAGCCACTGCCTTGGCTGCCTCACCATTCTTTTTCCGTTGAGGTTTACAGCAGGCACCATCTAGAATAAAAAACAGAAAAGGGTCAGTTACACAGAAATTTACCCTCTATATTAGCAGACTTTAAACAAGTAGGAAATGGTACCTGGCTTCAAGGAGCTTACTTTAGAGGGGAAGGTGAGACCCCATAACAAGTAGAACAAGCTGGGAGGCAGGCAGTGGGAAGCTATATCAGGATTTCACGGGAATAAATCATTTTGGAATCTGACAACTGAAAATGCAGAAAGGTATGTACTTCATGTGAAACAAACAGTTATGAGCTAAAATATACGTATGAAAAGTGAAAGGTAAGTTCAGGAAACAAATGCAGTCCACCTGGAACGGAACGTTCCCAGTATACCAGGCTGCTTCTCCCAAAAAGAACAAGGTCCTCATCTAACCCTCTGAGTCCCCAGAGTGTTAACAGTGCGTCGACTGAGCAGTTACTGTGGCCAGCACCTCACATGAACTCGTTGAATCTTCACAGCAACTTTACGAGGCAGGCTCTATTACTAACCCCATTTCACAGACTGAAAAACTGAGAGGCCCAGAGAAAACAGATCCAAGATCACACAGCTGGTAGAGAGAACCTAGACAGTACCTGTATACTTTACCCTACTATGATTCCTAGGACTGTTTAACGGTGAGGTCTCAGTCTGTTGCATTAGTGACTTCACATACAGAAATGTATCAACTGCAGAAAATGCTGGCAAAAGAATGCCTTTATAGGAACAGAGAGCCTGCTGGGCGGATGCTTCATGACGCTGGGAAGCCTGCTTCAGGACAGAAGGACACCTGAGAGTCTGCCTGTGGGAATGAAAGCATGATTTCACAGGCAGGAAGAAAGCCGTTCTGTCCAGAAAGGAGTGAAGGGGAGGAGGAGCAGAGCTGAAAGCTATGGGTGTGAAGGAGAGGGTGGTGAAGACAGATGGTGACCAGGGCCTGGAGGCCAAGGAGACAGTCTTTGGAAAAGACAGCAGCTTAAGCTGAATTTCTTGAGTAACAACACTGCTACACACTATGGTGTGTGACTCTCCTCGCAAGACGCAGCAAATCTTCAATCAAACTACCCCCAAAAACATTGCCAGGGATGATGAGATATCCTGAGAAAGCTGGAGAGGAGTCGAACTTCGTAAATGGGGGGGCACAGGGCAAAAACCGGAAGGGACTAACAACTGGGTCACAAAAGTGTAAAACAGAAGCGAGAAAGAAAACTCCAGTCCAGAAATGTAAGGGATACCCTGAATCCAGATCCTCACCAGGCTGTCCCTGTGAAGTGCGCTGCCTGAGCTTCTACTTCACATGTGAGCATTTTCTAAAATACAAAACATGTATCAGGGCACTAGAACCGAGTTCGAAATGTTCTAATCAATATCAATGTTCTCTTGATCAATTTACGTGCATGATGTTCCCCTGTTCTCACTACTCCCATTTCATACCAAAATTGGAGGAGTTGAACAAACTCTTTGTTCACGGTGAGCTAAACTCACTAAACTTTTATTAATCTGTGAGATTTCTCCTTGCGTTCACAGAAGTACAGTGACTCATTAAGAGTTGCACACATAGCCAGGAGCAAGTTAAGTAGAATCTAGCGACACTCCTTCCTTTTCTTCAGAAGTCTGGAGTTAGCACGTAATGCAAACATCCAGGTGTGCTTGCAAGCTCTGGACAGGTGATTCAAAAGGTGGTATGAATATCCATGGAGTTAGAGGTAAAGAACCTGCCTGCCAATGCAGGAAATGTAAGAGACAAGGGTTCGATCCCTGGGTCAGGAAGATCCCCTGGAGGACAGCACAGCAACCCACTCCAGTATTCTTGCCTGAAGAATCCCACAGACAGAGGAGCCTGGTGGGCTACAGTCCATTAAGGTTGCACAGAGCCGGTCTTGACTGAAGCGACTTAGCCCGCACAGGAATATTCAGGATTTCCTTTCTTTTTACAATTCAGGTTTGGAGTTTAAATGCCTTCAGACTTAAGGGCAGGGCAGGGCAGGGCAGGGCGGGGAGGGGTGAGTTGGGGGAGGGGAGCAAAAGGAAAACACAAACCAAGAAAAAAAAAAAAAACCCATGCAGTTCTCATAGTGTTGGAGAAGACTTGAGAGTCCCTTGGACTGAAAGGAGATAAAACCATCAATCCTAAAGGAAATCAGTCCTGAATATTCATAGGAAGGACTGATGCTGAAGCTGAAGCTCCAATACTTTGGCCACCTGATGCGAAGAGCCAACTCATTGAAAAAGACCCTGACACTGGTAAAGATTAAAGGCAGGAGGAGAAGGGGACAACAGAGGATGAGATGGTTGGATGGCATCACTGATTCATTAGACATGAGTCTAAGCAAGCTCCAGGAGGTGGTGATGGACAGGGAAGCCTGGAGTGCTGCAGTCCATGGGGTTGCAAAGAGTAGGACACAACTGAGCGACTGAACTAAACTGATGCAGTTCTCACAGCCCTTGCTAACAAATAACTTTTCAGAATGTTACAGATGGGCTGGGGTCAGTGAGGAGGCAGAGGGCTGACGGATCTCATCCTGGAAGGCCCTGTTCAGAGGGCAAGAGGAGAAGACAGTGCTGAAAGCCAGCAGGGAACGCGAGGCCTGGGTCTACTCTCCCACTCCACAATGAGACAAGTCAGAGACGAACGGTTACCGCCACCCTCTATGCTGCCAAGGCAAAGGTGCCTTCTGCCCAGATGATAGCCCACTTCCTAGGCCAGCTACTCCTGCAGAGGGAGGAAAAGCAGACTTGTGACCTTCAGATAAGAAAGGTAAATAAACTGCAAGAGAGAAAAACCCTAAATAAACTCGACCTATGCTTACCTGTGTAAATGCGATCAAGTGTGGCAATGGTACTTAATGTCAGTATCACTCTGTTGGACATCTGATAAGTCCAGACTGGGTTTAGTGACGTGTACCAAATGCGGAGAACAAGAAGAAGAATCTGTCCTAAAATAAATCCCCAGATTCTGAAGTACCTGTAAGTACAGAAATATTTTTAACAACTTTTTTGTGAGTGGTTTCAATGTACTCCTTCTATTGTGAATTTCACAGTGTCACAGAAGGAGTATGTGAGGTAGTTTTGTTGGTAATCTACACAACTTAGCTTTTATATAGCCCGTTACCTAGGCAGCTCATCATAATTTCTCCACTCTCACAACATTATTGAGAGTAATGGCAAATACTCATATCCTGGTTTTGTGAAAAGGAAAAAAAATGAGACTTCGACAAGGCCTTCCTGAAAGCTAAATACTATATCTTAGAATGCCCGGTCCCAACTTCCCTTTGGTAACTGACTACACTTGTTGCACAAGATGCAAGTATACCTTTGCATGCCACTTCCTGTCCACCACGTCACAGCATGCACCACCAGTGAGGAAGACAGACCAAGTGCAAGGACCATGAGCCGAAGTTTGGCATTTGGAGCCTGGAAGGAGGCGATGCTACCTACAAACAAATTTAAGGAGAGCTAAACATTTCTGGTAAGCAAGCCCTGCTAGTTAATGATCTGCCTCTGATACCTGTTGTGTCTAATACCATGTCTACACTCAGGAAGGTAGAGTTAACGTAGAATTTTGTGTATGTATAAATCTTTTTGAGCATTTTTATCGCAGTATTATTCATACCATAAAATTCACTGTGTTAAGATATATGACTCAGTGGTTCTTAATATGTTTACAAAGTTGCACAACTATACCTGAAACGAACACTACATTGTAAACCAACTAAACTTAAATAAAAAACTTTTTTTAAAAAAAGTTCATGTTGTAGCATATGTCAGAACTTCAATCCTTTTTATGGCTAAATGATATTCTGTTGCATGGATATACTGCTTTTTGTTTATTCATTCATCCCATTGATGAGCATTTGGATTGTTTCCACTTTTTGGGTATTATGAGCAATACTGCTAAGAACATTTATGTACCAGGTCTTATGTGAACGTTTCCATTTTTCTTGGGTCTAACTCCAAGGGGTGGAGTTGTTGGATCATACAACAACTATGTTTAACATTCTGAGGGACTGCCAAACTGTTTTCCAAACCAACTGCACCATTTTACATTCCCATCAGCAGTGTGTGAGGATTTCAGTTTCTTCATATTCTTGTCAACACTTAATATTGTCTATCTTTTTAATCAGGGCTATTTTAGTGACTCAAAGTAATTAAGATCAAAACTAATCTAAATCAATTGTATTGCACTGGTCAAAAAGTTCATTTGGGTCTTTCAGATCTTAAAGAAAACCCAAATGAACTTTTTGACCAACCCAATAGTATGAACTAGTTTAACGGTTTCATAGTTAACTATGTACTGATTAACCTAAAATATCTTAAGGAACAGCAATGAGACAGCATGTAACACTCAGATCATCTTTGTAGTTGTATAAGAATCCCTTTGGACTCTGTAAAAAAACAACATTGTTTCATCTTCTTAAGAAGTTATCTGAAGTCAGAAAAAAAAAAAAAGTACCTGAAAAGGCAGTTTAAGGCAAAGCATGACTTACTTCAGCCTCTCTTTAGCATCATCAAACTCAATGGACACCTGGAAGAGCATATGACACAAACTGGTTTCTTTATCCTGAAGTCTCTTTCCTACCCACTCCCCTTTCTCAAATACAATTCTACCTTTACTGAAGTAATGGGCTTTCAGGGGGAAAGGAGATGAAAGGGACCAACAAGAAGTATCTCAGACACCACACTCTCCAGTTATTTCCCATTACATCACAGCCTCCGGAGGCTACTGGGCCAGAACTAGACTAAAAACAAAAAACTGTCCCAGAAACTGTATGGTGAGTGTCCCTGTAGGTAAAGCTGTCACAGGCAGCACTGAGCAAAGGCAACAAAACAGCGCACTGATGAGATCCGCCCCATAAAGCCAGACAAGGAGTGTGATGAGGCCAAAGTCATAAAAGAATTCATAAAAGGATTCTGTGAGCCAAGGATAGTTTAACTCAGTTACTATATATACTCTGGAAGAAGGAAGGTTCATCTCTATTATTTCTGGAGCTGAAAATTTCATGATCGTTTGATATTTCTTTCCATTCCTTTTTTTTTAAAAGACATCTTTTAAAAGGATGCACTTTCCAGTGGTCTTTCCCACTGCAGTTTAGGGCTTCAGATCTTTGTGGGCAACCACAGAGCTTGCTACACTCACTAACCATGTTGTGCCTTCTTCAGGGACTGATGTACAGAAAAACAGAAGGTGAATTTCCTAGTGATTTCAGTCACTGTTCCTAGACAGAAGAAATACACACAGCATGGTTGGTTCATGAACAAATGCCACTTGGAAAACTCAGAGAAACCAATTGTGTTACAGCAAAAGGGCAAGACAGGCAGTATTCTTCAGCTACAGATTCAACCAGACTGGAGTCTGGTATTTTTGTTTTTCAAACTTTTTCTCCATGACCTCACATTCTTACTTTTTTTTACCTCCAGAACTTTTCCAAGGTCTCTCAATATTTATTAATATAATTACCTCAAGTCTTTGTGATATATTTCTTAAGTGTATATTTCTTAATTACTGGGTTTTGGCAATGTAACATATTGAAATCCAGAATTCAAATACCATGAAAAGTATACAGTGCAAAGTTTCATCTTTATATCTGTCTCAATATCAAATTTTTCACCCTAGAAGCAACAAAAATTATATCAGTATTTTTTAAAATACTTTTGGACCTATTTAATGCATGTTCAATTAATTACTAAATATATTTCATCTACCCTATTTAACACAAAAGTTAGCATTCTGAACATACTGTTTAGTGCTTCTTTTTTTCTCACTTAATATTGAAGAACATTCCATTTCCTTACATAAATGTTCTCATTCTTTAGTATAGCTGCATAGTATTCTATAGTACTCCCAGTTTCATAACCAAAATTTATTTAACCTAACCTATCCCATATAGATGACATTTAGATTGTTTCTGACACTGTTATTATAAATATTGCTACAGTGATTAAATAACCTTTTATTTTTATCATCTGACACACACGTAAGTTTATCTATAGGATATATGCCCCGAAGTGGAATTGCTGAGTGAAAAATACAGATTTGTAATTTTGATAAACACTGCCAAATTATCCTTTGCAGAAACTGTGCAAATTTACATTCCCACCAGCAATGCATGAGTGCCTGTTTTCCCATGCTTACAATAGTGTTATCCAAGTTTGTTCCTTATCAATCTGATATGAGAAACTATCTATAAATATATATATATATATATATGTGATTTGTATTCTACACCCTTTAGTATCTTTTAAAGATCCAATTATATTTCCTTTCCAGTAAACTGATCATATCCTTTGCATTCTCTTCTATTGAGTTATTGGTCCTTTCATTGAAAGTGAAAGTCGCTCATCGTGTCCGACTCTTTGCAACCCCATAGACTATACAGTCCATGGAGTTCTCCAGGCCAGAATACTGGAGTGGGTAGCCTTTCGCTTCCCCAGGGGATCTTCCCAACCCAGGGATCAAACCCAGATCTCCCCCATTCCAGGTGGATTCTTTACCAGCTGAGCCACAAGGAAAGCCCAAGAATACTGGAGTGAGTAGCCTATCCCTTCTCCAGTGGATCTTCCTGAGACCATACCCTTTGCTTTCTCTTCTATTGAGTTATTGGTCCTTTTATTACTGATTTGTAAAAACTCCATGTATTAGTGAAATTAGCCCTTTGACTAGAAGAGTTGCAATATTTTTCCTAACTTAGTGATTGCCTTTGCTTACTACTATGTTTATCATGCATAATTTCCATATTTTATGCATTATCATTTAACAACTTTTTAATGACTTCTGAGTTTTGTATCGTAATTGTTAAAAAGAACAAAAACATATTTAATATTTTCACATTTCCAAGGTATCTTTCCCCTCTTCAGTTCAGGGTCCTTAAAATTTTTCAATCTGACAGAAAAGTTAAAAATGTAAATATGTTGACTCTTGGTCTAGACTTACAATTCTACTAAAACTCTTCAAGGCAGTAATAAGAGAAAGAGACATCTTTTATTTTTTACTTAATCATTTAGCATTCAAAGAACAGTCTACATATTTTCCCTGGATTTTTAACTAAAAAAAAAAAGAAACTTAAGGAATCACTTTTAAAATCTTACCAACAGTAATTATCCGCAGCAAGGCTAGCATCCATTTCTTATTAACCAGTTTCCAGACAGGAGTAATTGTGACGACTAATGGAGAAAGAAATGCTACAGCAAAACCTTCCAGCCCAGTGAGTTCCAGTGTTTGCAGAGGAAAGTAATAGATCATTGGGCCCATGTCATGGCAGAGAGACCAAGAAACATATCCTAGGAGGGAAAAAGGGAAAAAACAGTTTTTAAGAGACAGAGAAAGTCTGTTTCAGACAACAGCCCTTCCCTCCGCTACAACTGGACTACTTTCCTGGTGACTTAACCTGCTAATGCAGGGGACACATGCAGGGTTCAGTCCCTGGGTTGGGAAGATCCCCTGCAGAATGGAATGGCTACCCACTCCAGTATTCTTGCCTGGAGGATCCCACGGACAGGGGAGCCTGGCGAACAGTCCATGGGGTTGCAAAGAGCCGAACATAATTTAGCAGCTAAACAACAACAACAACAACAACAACGACTACTACAACTGCTCTGACTGGCTGCCCTCCTTCATGACTCTGGCCTTAACTGGGTTCCAATAAGAGAATTCCACCTCCTTCTCAGTCCCAGGATGAGAATGGCTTCCTGCTGTTTTCAGTCCCTCAATGTCCCCTGTTTGTCCCGTTAACCTCATTCATCAGTTCAGTTCAGTTCAGTTCAGTCACTCAGTCATGTCTGACTCTTTGAGACCCCAAGAACCACAGCACACCAGGCCTCCCTGTCCATCACCAGCTCCTGGAGTTCACCCAAGCTCATGTCCATTGAGTCAGTGATGCCATCCAACCATCTCATCCTCTGTCATCCCCTTCTTCTCCTGCCCTCAATCTTTCCCAGCATCAGGGTCTTTTCCAATGAGTCAGCTCTTCATATCAGGGGGCCAAAGTATTGGAGTTTCAGCTTCAACATCAGTCCTTCCAATGAACACCCAGGACTGATCTTCTCTAGGATGGACTGGCTGGGTCTCCTTGCAGTCCAAGGGACCCTCAAGAGTCTTCTCCAACACCACAATTCAAAAGCATCCATTCTTCAATGCTCAGCTTTCTTTATAGTCCAACTCTCACATCCATACATGACTACTGGAAAAACCATAGCCTTGACTAGACAGACCTTTGTTGACAAAGTAATGTCTCTGCTTTCTAATATGCTGTCTAGGTTCATACAGGTAGGTAAAGTGAAAGTAGCTCAGGGGTGTCTGACTCTTTCTAACTCAATAGGCTGTAGTCCACCAGGCTCCTCTGTCTGTGGAATTCTCCAGGCAAGAATACTGCAGTGGGTAGCCATTCCCTTCTCCAGGGGATCTTCCTCAGGAATCAAACCCAGGTCTCCTTCATTGTAGGCAGATTCTTAACCACATGAGCCACCAAGGAAGCCCTGTAAGGTGGCAATCCCTTTATTAAAGGCTCTTCATCTCAGCCATGTAGGTTCAATCTGGTTTCCTGTCAGGACCCTGAAAAAATTTCCTCAACTAAGTTGACCTTTCTTCAATGAGAAATATGGTGAAAATCAAAAAGAGCAAAAAACAATAGAACTCCTTCCTCCCACTCCAGACTACAGCCAAAGGCAGGTTAGTTAGGAAATAATCCTTTTCTTGTGAGTAGGCTATTTTAAGCCTAAGCCTTAGGAGGCAGTGTGGGGTAGTGGAAAAACCAGATTTGAAGTTACTTTCACATCTGCTGACCTTGTAATCTTCTACAGCGATGACAATTAACCAATGGACATTTAACACATGTGAGGCTCTAAGTATTCACAGGGATCTTCTTTCTGATTCCTCAGACAACCTGTGTCTTGTGAAAATGACACTATTTCTACTCCTCCTTTACAAATGCAAAATCAAACAACAAAAACTCTGGATATCCTGAAAGTTGAGTAACTGCCTAAGGTCACAAAAGTAGCAAATAGCAGTGAACTGAAAACCAAGGAATCCAGTCCCAAACTATTCTTAATCACTGAAAACGGTACTTTTAACCACTTCACAGAGTTATTAGGATTAAAAAAGAACAAGTACACAAGAGTACCTAGCACCCTAGGTACCTACTGAGTGCACAATTCTGTTTACATCGTGTACTTGTGAGATACAGACTGGGCCAAATAATGAGCCTCCCCGCTACCCCCCACCCCCCAGCATTACCAGCTCCCAGAAAACCCAGTTTTAGGAAGGCACCCCTTCCTTTCATTGTGAACTACCAATCTCCCAAACGTTTGTCTGCCAGTTCTGATTTCAACCACACAACTCAGACAATATTAACAACAGTAGTTGTTCCTGGTACTTTTTGCAAAGCTGCTAAGGAAGCACACGACGCGACTCGTGTCCCATGTCGGATGTTTTTGGCCAAATGCTCACATGTGCGACCACCACCCAAGCCCACTCGTGCCGGGTCAACCCAAGCAGCACGGCCCTGAGTGTTACAGCCAGGGCGCCGAGGCAGGGGGGAACGGAGCCCCCTTCTGAAAGGTGCCATTTCCTCCTCCAAGGGGTCTTCCTGACCCAGGAATGGAGTCCCCTGCATTGGCAGGCAGATTCTTTACCACTGAGCCGCTTGGGAAGCCAAAGCTCGGTACTGAAATTTATTCAGGTAAAGGTCATGGGTGAGGGGACTCGGGGTTGGTGCCGGCCTCGCGGTTCGAGGCCGACAGGAGAAGTCGTGCGCGTTGGGCGCAACACCAGGGTGGCGTAGGAGCTCGGGAAGACTCGGGGGAGCGCCGGATCCTCGGAACCTCAATCTAGGGCTTTTCTCTCTTTTTAAAATTCCTTCAGCAGCAGCAGGTGACAGGGGACGATAAGCATCTCTATTCCGGGCGCCGAGCTTGCCTTCCTTCCTCCCGGGGCTCAGCCGAGCCCGCCGAGCATCGTGGTTCCCTGTAGGGCGAGGGGGACCGACCGGGGAATGCGCGGCGGGCGGCCTCGGCTTACCCAGGAGGCTCTCCAGGAGCACCTCTCTCCATGGCGGGGTCATGGCCGGAGCCCCTACGTCCCGGGCCAGCCGCCGCGTCCTCCCGAGTCTGCGCCCACGCCACCGGCCCCAGCCAGCCCGCACGCCCAGCCCTGGCGAGGGTGGGGCCCGCCGCCTCCGCCCCGCCACGCCCGGCGCCGCCCGCCCGGCCCCCGGGCTCCTCTGAGCGCCAGGTGCCCCGCGCCACCGCCGAAGCCAATGCGAAGGAGCCGGGGGCCTCCCACCTGCCTCCGGGGTAAAAAACAGATCTCTCGGCCAGCCAGCGGAACAGCCCCGGGGATGGCGCGCTGCGAGCGCGCAGGAGGGCGGCATCGTGGCAACTCTGGACCCGCGGTGCTCTTTAAAGGAGGCCCGAGGGCGCGTGGCGAGGGGGCAAAGCTGAGACCGGGATGGGGAGCTGAGCAGACAGGGGCTCTGGCGCCTACGGCGAGCGGGTGCCAACAGGACCTTGGCGTTCCTAAGGCCGGCGAGCGGGCACCTGCGACGGCCACCTGTGTGCGCTTCTCCTTCTTAGCCTTGGCAGTAAAGAAATCACATTCTGGAAAGGTGGTTGAAAAATTCTACAGATTACAGAATTTTCTTTGGCTTTCAGAGACGTCCCAACGCTTGCTCATGGGAAAGAAAGCAACTAATCGGAGTGGAAACTCTGCCCTCGTCCTATGGATAATGATCTTTGCGAGTGCCCATCCCTGAGGAGACAGGGAGAGACATTCTAAGAAACAATGGAGCCAGTGAACCAGGCCGGTTATTTCTTGCTCAAATACTACCACACCCCAGAGTGTTTTGGATTTTTTTTTTAGAACCTTCTCAAAGCAAATGTATTTTAATTCGCTTTAATTTGGGGGGGAGGGGCAGTTTGTCATTTAGCATTTCTGGAAGATTTGCCTTGGAATTAAGCAATGATGGATTGTCTAAAAGCGTAAGAATCGGTGAAGGGAAGTTATTGCTCTAAGTCCATAGCAGTTTTAAGCAGAGTTCTCATTGTCAGTAGATAAAGATCAACAGAATAGAATTGAGAGTTCTGGAAATAAACCGGCTTGTTTAAGGTCAAATGATTTTCAACAAACTAGTCAAAACTATTACATGAGGGAAAGATTGGTCTTTTCAACAAATCAGTCTAGGACAATTGAATATCCACATGAAAGAGAACAAATAGGACACCACCCCCCCATTTTCACCCAATAGATAAAAATTAATTCAAAATGGATAAAAACTTAAATGTAAGAGATGAAACTGTAAAAATCACAAAACAAAGGAGCAAATTTTCATTATCTTTAGTTACATAATGAATTCTTAGATACAACAGCAAAGCACAAGTGAAAAAAGAAATAATAGTTAGACTTCATGGAAATTAAAAGGTTTTGTGCTTCAAAAGACAGTTGAAGAAAGTGAAAAGACAATGTGCAGAATGGGAGAAAATATTCTAAAATCATACATCTGGCCCATGCTAAGAGTCCCTTGGACTGCAAGGAGATCAAACCCGTCAATCCTAAAGGAAATCGGTCCTGAATATTCATTGGAAGGACTGATGCTGAAGCTGAAACTCCAATTCTTTGGTCACCTGATACAAACTGACTCACTGGAAAAGACCCTGATGCTGGGAAAGAGTGGAGGTGGGAGGAGAAGGGGATGACAGAAGATGAGATGGTTGGATGGCATCACCAACTCGATGGACATGAGTTAGAGTAAGCTCCGGGAGTTGGTGATGGACAGGGAGTCCTGGCGTGCTGCAGACCATTGGGCCACAGAGTTGGATACGACTGAGCGACTGAACTGAACTGAATCAAAGTCGCTTAAGTCATTTCCTACCCTGTGGGACCCTATGGACTGCAGCCCACAAGGTTCCTCCATCCATGGAATTTTTCAGGCAAGAATACTGTAGTGGGTTGCTGTGCCCTCCTCCAGGGGATATTCCCGACTCAGGAATTGAACCCGAGTTTCCTAGATCTCCTGCGTTGGCAGGTGGGTTCTTTACCGCTAGCACCACCTGGGAAGCCCTCATGCATCTGATAAGGAACTGGTATCTGGAATATACATTTTTAAAAATTAAAACTCAGTAATAGTCACTTTAAAGATGAACAAAGGACTTGATAGGCTTTTTTGCAAAGAACATCTACAAGTAGCCGATAAGCAAAATATATTCAGGAAAGGATATTTGACATTATTTCATTAGGGAAATACCAATCAAAGCCACAGTGATATACCACTTCACACTCCCTGAAATGACTGTAATCCAAAAAGTCAGATTATAACAAGTATTGAGAACATATGTATACTTATGGCTGATTCATGTTGACATATGGCAGAAACCATCATGATATTGTAATTATCCTCCAATTAAAATAAAATTTAAAAAATAACAAGTGTTGATTAGGTTGTGGAAAAAGTGAAAACTCTTACATTGCTTATGGGAATGTAAAATGGTGCAGCCACTTTGAAAAACAGTCTGATAATTCTTCAAATGATTAAACATAGAATTATCTTATGACATATCAATTCTACCTCTAGGTGTTTATGTATGTGTTAGCCGCTCAGTTGTCTCTGACTCTTTGCGACCCCATGGTCTGTAGCCCACCTGGTTATTCTGTCCACGGAATTCTTCAGGCAAGAATACTCGTACTAAGTCGCTTCAGTCTTGTCCAACTCTTTGCAACCCCGTGGACTGTAGCCTGCCAGGCTCCTCTGTCCATGGGATTCTCCAAGCAAGGATACTAGAGTGGGTTGCCATGCCCTTCTCCAGGGGATTACCCTGACCCAGGGATTGAACCCAGGTCTCCTGCATTGCAGGCGGATTCTTCTACCACTGAGCCACCGGGGAAGCCCCCTGGGTGTTTATACCCAAGAGAAATGAAACATACATAATTTGTGGACAAAGAGTAGTATTACTCATAATAGCCAACAATGGAAACAACCCAAATATTCAGCAACCGATAAATGGATAAATAAAATGTGGTATAAGCACACAATAGAATGTCACCCAGCAATAAAAAGGGATGGAGTACCAGCACATACTATGACATAGATGAACCTCAAAAACACAGTGGTAAGCGACTAAACAACAACAAAGTGAAAGGAGCCAGCCAATAAATAAATCACATATTATATGATTCCATTTATATGTTCCGAATAGGCAAATTTGTAGTGGTCTAGAGTAGAGGACGGAGAAGGCAATGGCACCCCACTCCAGTATTCTTGTCTGGATAATCCCATGGACGGAGGAGCCTGGTAGGCTGCAGTCCATGGGTCTCTAAGAGTCGGACACGACTGAGCGACTTCACTTACACTTTTCACTTTCATGCATTGGAGAAGGAAATGGCAACCCACTCCAGTATTCTTGCCTGGAGAATCCCAGGAATGGGGGAGCCTGGTGGGCTGCCTTCTATGGGGTCACACAGAGTCAGACACGACTGAAGTGACTTAGCAGTAGCACCAGAGTAGAGGAGTGATTTTTTTAGGGTTATGGGAATGGATAGTGAAGGAAAAGGAATTAATTAGTATATAGTTTCTTCCAAGGGGAATGAAAATTTTCTAAAATTAGATGGGTGACGGTTGTACAACTTTGTGAATATGCTAAAAACATAGCACTGCACATGTTGAATGAATGGGTGAATTATATGGAGTGTGAGTTATATCTCAATAAGACAGCTTTTAACATGCAAGTCATTCTAGTTACATCACGTAAAAACGTTTTGACTGGATTCAGTCATTTAGTATCACCCATTCTTTAACGTGTGATAGACTTCAGTGACTGAAAACATCATACATTGCATTTCCCTTTCCCTTTGCCTAAATATGTTTCTTTTCCAGGCACCTATATGAAAAGCATTTAATTCTGTGCTGTGTATACTTAGTGGGTGCCCTTCAAAATTTGTCCCTTTTCAAAGCTAAGTGGTAGGAAAAACTTTGCTTCTACTAAGGATGCAAAGTGTTTTCTTGTCCACTTAAAGCTCAATTTTTGTCTTAGTGGTTTTTTTAAAAATCTTTAATAATTTTGATCTCAGGTGACCTCAGCCAGCAACACCTTGAAGCAGGACTTAGGTTCCCAGTCAGGGACTGAGGCTGGGTCACGGTGGAAAGAGCACCAAATTTTAGCCACTAAACCAGTGGTCAGTGACAAGGGCCCTGGCCCTTCAGCTTTGCAGAAATGATTCCCCTAAAGACGGAAAGTAGTGAAATGTTTTATTTATTAGGAGGGAAGAGTACAATATATATGGATAGACTCCCAGGCAGACTCAGAGGAAGAGTCTGTGAGTTGTACCCTCATGGCAGTTTAAATCACTTATATGGGGCATTTCTTCAAGGTTTCCTTGAGCCAATTATTATTTATCTGCTTCACAGTCCATATTTGGTGTATTTCAGGATCCTCCCATGCATGTCTACATGCATGTCTTAGCCAAGATGGATTCTATCTCAAAGGCCTATGGGTGGCCTGGCCTTAGCATCACACCCATTTGACCTCCAAGCAGCCTTTCTGCACAGTGTGGTTGGGATGGTCTCCTCACTTTAAGAATGAGAAATATATGGTCTGAGTGGGGCTGTCTCCTCTTTTACTTGTCGTGCTTATTTTGGAGTTTTTGTCCTTAGGGAGTAAATCTCCAATCACTTTACCCTGGAGGTGCCCATCTACCCCCCTGTCTCAAATCCCCCCTGAGAGATGTAAACCAAAAAAAAACTTTATTGGGAAAATGAAGAGTGAAGGTCTGTCTTCTGTAACTTCTTCAGGCTAGATAGAGGCTTGTAGACCCCACCTAGCTGGGGTCATAGAGCTCTCACTCTGTCTCATTAAATGGGCCCCAGTGTGACATCTGTTATGGTTTCAGCAAGATCTGCTGTGGGGAGTGGCTGGAGTCCCTGCATAGCATCATTGCCCCGTGATGCTCTAGAGAAAACAAACTAAATAATTAGATTAGAGAAGCAGGGGTTAAAGATCAGTAAGACTATTATAATCAGAGGCTCAAGCAAGGGTAGGAATCTGGTTGTACAAGGTCAGCATATCTTTCTCTATTTCCAAAATGGAAGCTCTGAACCTGTTGGTCCCAGGTCTCCTTCTGGGAGGGCTGGGTTAGGCAAGAGATATTAGATTTTCTTCAGTAGGAAAATGAACAATTCTGACCCTGTACATTACTGTTTGGAGACTTGGGTCTCTAGTAGAAGACCATTTTCCATCAGGAATTTGGCTAAAATTCCTAATGGGATGGATAAAGGGGTCGCCATGGCCCATGATGAACTTTGCTCTGGGTAAACAAATCCAGCATTCTGTCAGCCTAGTAGAGGAAGCAAGGGTTTGTGCAATGTGAACCAGAGAGTTTTCTGTCCATCCTACAGATAAGGGAAATACACATAGAAAAGCTAAGGCAATTAGTAGCTTCATATTAGCACCAGTCAGGGTCATATTTAAATCACCCAGCATGGGCAGAGAAGTTCAGTGAATTCCGAGAGCAAGAGTGAGAACAGAGAAAACAATACTTATCTGAAGTTACCAGCGCATATCAACTACTCTGTATGTGGACTGGTGTACCAGGAGGCAAAATGAAGATAGTAACTATGGGTACTTAGCCTGTACTTAGCCTAGAGTCTGTTTTAGGCTTTTCAGTACAAAGTGAAAGTTGCTCAGTCGTGTCTGACTCTTTGTGACCCCATGGACTGTCCATGGAATTCTCCAGGCCAGAATATTGGAGTGGGTAGCCTTTTCC